GATACAAAATTTACAAATCGCTGAGTAATTATAACACATTTACTCATAGCAATCAACAAATTTGTGCATTTTGCTACATACACCTATTTTCAATTTACTGATCTCATAGGGGCTTTGATTTCTAATATAAAAAATATTTCAGATATTAAAGTTCAGTGCTCTTCTAAGCCCCACACAACAACGGCAGGATTTTCGCTTTGTTGCGTTTCTTAGAAGCTTAAATTATACTTTAAAAGAATAGTATCGAACCTTTGGATTTGAAGAGCTCTTTCAGAGAAAAGGAAAAAGAAATATTGTAATAATATTTAATTAAATAAAAGTTGGCGCGCGCAAACCTGGTGTAATAACTGAAATCATTTCATAAAACACTAATCACTCACTTACCTCTCTATTTGCCGTACTACGAATTCTGTGCCGCTTGCCAATCAGTTAAGTGAATTCAACTCGAACAACTTCGGCTCGAAGGTAAGTAAAATTGGCTCATAACGACAGTTACATACCCTTCATCCAAACATACTCATATTATGTTAATCATTTTATTTTCTTTTTACAAATACTCATTTAAATTATAGAACATATAGAAATATAGAAATTATTTTTTTAGATACAAGACACAAAAATGAACGGCTATGCAGCTCCGAAACGAAAAGATTTTTGTCGGTAGATTACAGCCGGAATCTTAACCAAGCAATGTTACTAATCTATCTTGCCAATTTATATACCCAATAGAAGTGTTAACCCTAATGGTATACGCTTTAAAGAATTTTATCAGGTATATTGATAAAACAAACTAATACCGGTCAAATCTTTATTACAGTGGTTAATGTTATCGTACTTGTTTTGGTGAAATAAACAATAGGCCTATTCTTTTGCAAGCATATTGCAAAAAAACAACCGCTTATTTTAAAAGTAACATATGAAACAACAACACTTATAGCTTATTTAGTGCAACTTCTTTAAAATCACTTTATTTTTATTAATAAAATGCACATATCGCAAGATTTGAACGACTTTCTTTGAGACCCCCGCGCCACATCCTTTTTACATAAGATCAATATAAGGTATATTCTTCAGACAAAAGTGCTTCAATAGAGCACAAAAATAAGCCCACTTTTCTAAAATCGCTTAACGAATAAGCAAGCAGCATTACAATGGTACCAAATCGTAAAACTGTTCTGGTATTGTAAATGATTTTTGGAAGAAAATGAAAAACTCGCGGTGGATGAAAGATGATTTTGTTAATTATTTTTAACTATTCCGAGTGTTAATGAGTAAATTGGAATATTTTAAAAAGTAATTTTTTTAATTAAATTTATGAAGATGACTGACAGGTTAGTAATTGTATGAAGAAGTCATTTGTTAAATATTTATTAAGGAATTTTTAATTTCTATATTATATTCTTTAAAAAATTCAATATATAAATACATAACAGAATCGTTATAATAAAAACAGAAAACTATAAGATAAGTACAAAAAAAATAAAACTGTGTTAATATTGCTTATTTAACATGAACTAAAAATATTTGAAGCTTAAACGAATTTATTGACCACCTCGTATTACCTTCTGAAGAGCTAGAGCTATTAAAAATTGCAAATATTTAGTCAATGTGTTGCTCTCTTTCTGTACTCCATATTTCACAATTTTTCTCCGTTATTATAGATTAAGCCTAAAAAAATATATAAATATATAAAATGCGCACCACTAACTTTTTTATGTCATTCATTTTATATATATTTACATCAAATTTTTTTTTAAATGATCTGTAGATATTTTTGTATTTACATAGCAATCACAAATTAGTTTAAACCCTTTTTTTCATATATTTAGTGATTTAGGCAGTGATGCGAAATTTATTTTTAAGCAACCAGAAGTTGTTCTATTAAAGCATTCATGTCAAAAGAACACAACTATATTTTTGTTTTTAAATTTTTTTTTTATGCTATTTTCGTATGAATTTTTTAGTGTATAAGAAAATTTAAAAGAAGTTTTGAAGAATTTTTTTAAAGAAAGGCCCAAAAGATATGAAAAATGGTTATTTTTAACAGCCTATTTTTTATAGCCCATTTTTAGCAGCCTATTTTTAATAACCTATCTCTGAAGCCTTAAAAACTAGTTCAAAATTTTTTTAAAATATAAGTTTCTCGTTTCAAAATTATATATAATCGGTATATATTATAATATTAGGAAATGAATAAAAAATTGTAATGTTTGCTGTTATAAGGTGGAACAGTTGTTGTATAGTTAGATATAGTATAATCTAAGTTCACTACTTGCAAGGGCATTACCAAGCGCCTTGAGATCAATTTTGCTTCAAAACTTTTTCCGCTTCTTTTTTATTTCCACAAAAAGGTACTAGATAATGATATCACCAAACTGATCAGTTAAAAAAATTTTTTTTAACATGAAACTGAGGGCCACCCTAATATATAATGCATATATTGATTTTTAAAGCTAGTACGGTACTTTAAAATATTATAAATCTATTATATATTTAATATTCAAAAATTTTAATAATATCAAATTAGTTGATGTGCCAACCTCATGTCGAAATTAGAAGTTTATGTGAAGAAGAGCTGTAAGGTGCAAACTAAATTAAATTGCGTTATTTGTACTTAGCTGTGTTCTATTTCGATTATGAACATTCGCATTTGTGTTGGACTTTAACACTATCTAAACTAAACGCTTCCGTTCACTAACCTCGGAATAGGTTTACTGTATTCTTAGGCATGTTATCATTGTCTTATATTCCCTTACGGAGCAACACCCCAGGCATAGCACATTAAAGCGAGCTAAGCAAATTTAACCGCACTTAGAGCATTTAAAACTATTCATATACTCAAGCCCAAAAGACCCAATTACGTTAACGTTAAGCAAAAATTGAAAGAATTATTAAACAGATATTTATGAGATTTTGTTCTGCTTGGCAGAAGGCAGTTGAGATACATAAGCATAAATTATACATATTTAAAATAACAACTTCTTCTAATATTAATGTGTGCAAATGCTGTAAAATTATGAGGATCGTCACTATCTACCACTCCACTGCCGCTTGGTGTATGAACAACGGCAATTTGCAATAGACATAAACAGGAAAATTGTTGCTTATTATAAGCAAAAAATCAACAACAATTTCATGCACATCAAAGTCAATAATTGTTCATAATTAATATTTGTTTTGAGATGCATTAAACAATTATGTTTTCTCTAAGTCTAAACTAAAATTAATAAATATCCTTCCTTATATTAGTTCAACTTTCCTTCTGTGCAAGCGTGACTTATCTGCTAAATCTAAACTAATTTTCGCTACTCATAAAGCGAGATTTTGAGAAATTATTTTCAATACTAATTTTAAGTAAAAACTTTTTAAAAACTTTTTAGGTTATGACAAATATAACTGAAGAGAAACATATAAATATAACAACAATTAATAATAGCTCGTAAGTATTAGATTTATTTACATAATAGGTGTAGTAAAAGAAATCCATTATTTTTGCCTAAAATTGAATGCTTATTTAACATAGTATATGCCTCTCTCATAGAAGTCCTCTCTCCTACTGGTAAAATATTGAGACAATCGACAATCTCTTGAACCGAATTTTACACCAGGAAAATCATCTGTCCTTCGCCATGGACAGGAATAGATGGTAACCACTTGGTGCCAGGTCTGAACTATAAAGTGGATGTATAAAAACTTTCCAACCAAGCTTCCAGAGTCTTTCGCAAATCATTATGAATGAGCAACACAATTCCGCTCCTATCACCCAAAGCTAGCCGTTTCTGAGCGATTGCTTTCTTGCAATACTGTCCAATTGTTAACAGTACAGTTCTGAGTTAAGAGTTTTCCCCGCTTATATGTTAGTAGATGATTTCCTGTCAACCCCACTAAACACGAAGCAAAATCTTCCTGACTATCAATCCTGTTGTAAGTGATTCACTTTTCATCAGCTGTCACCAATCACTTCTGAAATGGGGCGATTTTATACAATTCACCAGGGATTCGTAGATGAAAATTCGGTCCATAAGATTTATTTTGATTTAACTCATCCATACATCGAGCTTCTTTTTTGTATTCAGCCAATTTTTTGTGCAATTTTTAGCTCTTGGGCAATGAGCAATCGAGTCAGTACTTATATGACACGACCTGCTATTGTCATGTAATTGACTGACTTGACAATTTCCATGATTTTATCGAAATATTTGAAATATTGGCCTTTCAGTGCATAGTGCATCTTTGACATCGAAATTACTGGGAAAGAATTGACAAATGATTGGTTGTTACAGTATCAGTATTATGTTTATAGACCTGTAATATTAATGGGTCGTACTTAGTCAAAAAAAGTCGAAATGCTATAATTAATGGGTCCGAGATCAGAACCCTAAACAATGATTATTTTTCCATGTGTGGATGAATATGCCCTGTGTGACCTTTGGTTTTAACAAGACTATACTGCATATTATATTGTCAGTGAAATTATTGAGTTATTTAAACAAAAGATTAATATTATGTCCAAAAATGTAGCTGTGGCGTATGGTTTACAACCAATAGAACAATTTTAATTCAAATCGAAGCTCCACAATATAGTTGCTAAGATATTGCATATGTGATAATTAGCCAAAAAAATTTAACATTTACACAATATATTGATGAAAAGTATTTTTGCTATTCATGAGATTATCACTGTAAATAAACGAAATAATTTTACCTTATTTTCTGTACAAACTATAATACTAATGAATACATCATACTTCATTTGGTACTCAAATATTTCTTGAACTTTTCTTTTATAAATTTTTTTAATGCGATTATATATAACCATTGAAAAATTTTTTTAATAATCGTATAAATTAATCAGCAAAAATGGTTATTTTTTCATTGACAAAACACGAGCATAGTACTTTTCCCACATTTTACATAATAAGTCGATCGACACTGAAGTAATCGATGAATCAAAGAGAGAATTCTTCAGTATGAACTATTACAAACTTTTATTGTTGTTGTAAATATTGATATCAATAGTTTCAGAATAATATATAACAAATATAAAAGTTTCCTTAAAATCTTAATTGTAGAAATATTTGGTTAATTGAATAGGCATCCCACTAAGTCCGTTCGGTCAAATATTACATGTATAAAGCAGTTCTCTGTCCTGGGCTCTGTTTCAGCTGTGCAGCGTTTGGTAAAAGGACCTAGTAGCAGTATTAAAATGAAATTATTCTTTATACATCTTATTAAAAAAAAAATATTTACCGTCATATTAATAGTTCAATAAGTCAGAGAAATGAACTGTAAGCATCAGGTTAATTGAATAGGCATCCCACTAAGTCCGATTGGTCAAATATTACACGTATAAAGTAGTTCTCTGTTCTGTGCTGGTTTATGATAATTTTCCAAAAGTATGTCGTTTCAGCTGTACAGGTTTTGGGAATAGAACCTGACAAATGTATTAAAAATAAATTATTCTTTATATATCTTATTTAAGAAAAAATATTTACCATTATAGTAATAGTTCTATAAGTCAGAGAAATGCACTGTAAGCATCTGGTTAAATGAATAAGCATCCCACTAAGTCCGTTCGGTCAAATATTACATGTATAAAGCAGTTCTCTGTTCTGTGTTGGTTTAAGATAATTTTCCGAAAGTACGTTGCTTCAGCTGTGCAGTGTTTGGGAACAGGACCTGATAGCGGTATTAAAATGAAATTATTCTTTATATATCTTATTTAAGAAGAAATATTTACCATTATAGTAATAGTTCTATAAGTCAGAGAAATGAACTGTAAGCATCAGGTTAATTGAATAGGCATCCCACTAAGTCCGTTCGGTCAAATATTACATTTATAAAGCAGTTCTCTGTTCTGTGCTGGTTTATGATAATTTTCCAAAAGTATGTCATTTCAGCTGTGCAGGTTTTGGGAATAGAACCTGACAAATGTATTAAAAATAAATTATTCTTTATATATCTTATTTAAGATAAATATTTACCGTCATAATAATAGTTCTATAAGTCAGAGAAATGAACTGTAAGCATCAGGTTAATTGAATAGGCATCCCACAAAGTCCGTTCGGTCAAATATTACATGTATAAAGCAGTTCTCTGTCCTGGGCTCTGTTTCAGCTGTGCAGCGTTTGGTAAAAGGACCTAGTAGCAGTATTAAAATGAAATTATTCTTTATACATCTTAGTAAAAAAAAAATATTTACCGTCATATTAATAGTTCTATAAGTCAGAGAAATGAACTGTAAGCAACTGGTTAATTGAATAAGCATCCCACTAAGTCCGTTCGGTCAAATATTACATGTATAAAGTAGTTCTCTGTTCTGGGCTGGTTTAAGATAATTTTTCCGGAAGTACGTTGCTTCAGCTGTGCAGTGTTTGGTAATATAACCTGACAACGGTATTAAAATGAAATTATTCTTTATACATCTTATTAAAAAAAAATATTTACCGTCATATTAATAGTTCTATAAGTCAGAGAAATGAACTGTAAGCAACTGGTTAATTGAATAAGCATCCCACTAAGTCCGTTCGGTCAAATATTACATGTATAAAGTAGTTCTCTGTTCTGGGCTGGTTTAAGATAATTTTTCTGAAAGTACGTTGCTTCAGCTGTGCAGTGTTTGGTAATATAACCTGACAACGGTATTAAAATGAAATTATTCTTTATACATCTTATTAAAAAAAAAATATTTACCGTCATATTAATAGTTCTATAAGTCAGAGAAATGAACTGTAAGCATCAGGTTAATTGAATAGGTATCCCACTAAGTCCGTTCGGTCAAAAGTTACATGTATAAAGTAGTTCTCTGTTCTGGGCTGGTTTAAGATAATTTTTCTGAAAGTACGTTGCTTCAGCTATGCAGTGTTTGGTAATAGAACCTGACAGCGGTATTAAAATGAAATTATTATTTATATAGCATATTTAAGAAAAAATATTTACCATTATAGTAATAGTTCTATAAGTCAGAGAAATGAACTGTAAGCATCTGGATAATTGAATAAGCATCCCACTAAGTCCGTTCGGTCAAATATTACATGTATAAAGTAGTTCTCTGTTCTGTGCTGGTTTATGATAATTTTCCGAAAATACGTTGCTTCAGCTGTGCAGTTTTTGGGAACAGGACCTGACAAATGTATTAAAAATAAATTATTCTTTATATATCTTATTTAAGAAGAAATATTTACTGTCATAGTAATAATTTTTCAAGTAAGAGGAAAGAGCTTTAAACATCACAGTCCTCTGAAAGTGATGCTTCTAGTGACTTTACTAAATCTCCAATGCGTTTCTTATAATTCTCCAGTTTTGTGGGGTTATAAATACTTTTTGTCGCCCATACAATTAACATATTTTCAATGTGCTTAAGCAATGTTACATTCTTACAATCAGTTAATAGCTTATCCAAAACATAATATACAATTATGTCAAAGGACCACATAATGCTAGTACTTGGCTCCTCAGCGCATTTCTGATACACACCATCCAATATTCGGAAGAGAACAATTTTTTGAGCAATTCTTTTAGTTTCTAAAACTTGTTTCGCCCAGCTTCTGGCTATCAGAAGTGAATACTCGCGATGCTCCAAGATGAACGTAACTGTCTTCCTTATACTACGATCGGATGAGTTTGCGATGTGTAAGACATGGATTATCATATCTTCTAAGAACTGATCATCTTCTGAATCACTATCCGGAACTTTGGTGATACGCTTAGGCATGGTGATTAGAAGAACTGAAATATACAGATTGCTTTTTAATTTAGAATGTGAAATGAATCATTGTAAAAATAAATTTATAATGAAAAGAAAAATTTGAATAGTTAAAAACATTTCATTTTAATATGACAAATTACACAGCATACTATGTTGGAAAAAAAATTGGTTTTTTTTTTTTTTGAAGTTTAGATAATGAAAATCATTTCAAAACATGGCTCTAAAGATATATATATATCATATCTATTGTTGTTATTGCTAAAACTATTAAACAGAGGTGTGCATTTTGAAGTTCATAAACTTTATAGAATCCAATGATTCTAAACTTTTTATTAATTATGTCTATGTCTCTTCTAGCACAGCATTTTCTTGATGTTTTTAAGTTTATATGAAGTTTGTGGTCGCGAAGAGGAGGACATTTATAGCAGGGTATGCTTAATAGAAGTAGTCTCTTTGAGTTTGCCTTACACCACTGTAAATCGAAAAAAGATTTTATTTTGCACTGATACAAACCTTTTCAACAAAATATTAACCATCTATTGGAACTTCTTCACAATTTTGTAGGTGTTTGAATTTAAAGTTTGAATTTAATATAGCTTAATGCCTTTATAAAAAAAGCATTTTGCTAAAAACAAAGAAAAAAAACAGGAAGAAAAATTTGAATATTTATAAAGATATCATTTAAATATAACAGATAATTTAACGCAACTATGTTAAAAAAAATTTTATTTTTATTTGAAGTTTGGATAATGAAAGTCATTTCAAAACATAGAGGGTCTAATACATATGTCACATCTAACAATATTATATTAGTATTACTCTAAATAATTATGTAAATATATTAGGAGGTTCTTTTCATATTATTATTATTATTATTATTTTAATTGAATTTTTGGCTGATCATACAGCTATTTCGAGTATTACCAAATATCCATCAACAGTGGTCTTAAAAATATTTCTTGTATTTAATTATTCGTAAATAATATTTTTAAACTGCAAATACCTGAAATCGAACTCGTGCCCTGCCAAATTTGAAGCTCAGAGTCAGCACACCTTAACCAACTGACCCAAAGCCGTACTTGAGTACCAAGCCAACCCTTAAATTGACAGCTTTTTTATATGACTTAACAATTAAAATGTGATTTGATTCGTTAATTGAAAGTACTCTAAAAATGATCGATTGGGCAACAAAATTTCACAGACCAAAAGTAAGTCTAGATTTGCTTTCTGAATGTAGATTTACCAATCAATAACGCTATTAGTGTAATGAAGGTCTGATAAGCAAAACTTAAGCTTTAAAGTTTTATGCTCTAAAAAATTTTTTTTATTTGACCTAATTTTGGTATATTAATTAATGTTTCAACAATGATATCTTTAACTTAAAATTTAAATTTATTAAGTGATCAAATTTCCTTACTAAATGGTTTTATCAATTAACTCCTATTTTTAAATTAGACTCTCCTAAGTCCCTTTTCATTGCACATTTTCGTGTGCAGAGAGTTTTATTTTAAATTCGTTTAAATGAATACAAAAAAAATGCATTTCAATCTAAATAAAAATAAATATATTTTTTATTCTCATTTTATTAATTTTTGTATGCAATTGTATCCATAAAAGGAATTCACAACTCATAAATCATTGGTCGCGTAAACCACGATTGTGTTTATGCATCACAAGGTACATGACGCATGCTGCCTGCTGCCTGCTGCATGGAGTATGCATCATGCCGCATGTTAAGCGCTTCATACGGACCGCAGTAACAAAAGCCATCAATGCCATCATTATCAGCAGGAGCAACCTGAAACAGTGACTACCAACAATAGTGCGATCAGCAGTCCTCGATCCACAGTTCGCATTTTTATCAGCGGTGGCAACAGAAGCCTAAGTGCGAAAACAAAAAATCGCGAATAATGCAGCGCAATCACGGCAAGGAAGTTGTGCGCATGCGGAGCTGTTTTGACATACGACATATAGCTGGATGCACTAAACAAGCAAAGGTGCCGGATTGAATGCACTTAAGCATTTGGAAAGTGTTGATGTTGATTGTTCGAGTTTAGTGCGCATCGCTTCTTCTGATGCATTTATGGCAAAATGATGAATGAGGACTTTAATGTTAGCAATTTTGTTTTGAATCAAATTGAAATAAATTTCCTCTTTTAAATCATTTATATACGTCTTTAGTTTCGAGTATTGGTTGACATATATATTCCCTTTCCAGAGTAAGTGTATTTCGAGTATATAAATATTATAGTAAATGTACATATACTATAATATATGTACAGTTCATCATAGCTATACGGATCACTTAATGACTATGCTTGTTTCAAATAACATCCTTTCATTCTTCTCTCTTTTTTACCTTTGACTTCCAGTTGCTGATATTCATAATATATCTATATTATCCTTAGAAATAACAATATAAAATTTAGATTTAAAAACAGAAATACATATACTTAACTGCTTATAAATTTGTAATAATCATCAGTATCATGATGATCATCATAGCTATACGGATCATTTAAAACCTATGCTTGTTTCAAATAACATCCTCTCATTCTTCTCTTCTTTGCCATTGACTTCGAGTTGCTAATATTCATCTATCTCTCTTAGATTTTGCCGAACACTATCACACCACTTTTTTCTTTTCGTTTCCACAATAAATTCACTTTCCAATATTTGTGATGGTGTCCTTTCTTTAGACGTAAATAAAGCCTTATATATGCCACATAATTATATCACCTTTTATTAGTTAATGAATGTCATGGTTACTTCTGAAACGATCAATTGTATCGGTTATTTCCATTTTATTCTATCGATCGAAATTTTTCCGCGTTATCTTTCTTTCAAATACTACTAGATTAGTCACTTCATTATCTAATAAACTTCAAGCTTTACTCCTATAAGTTACTACTGATCATATTATTAACTTATAAAACAGTATCTTCGTTTATTATAACAATTTTTTAGGTGACATAAGCATTTTCATTTATTTTCCTATTTTGAACCTATTTTGAACCTATTTTCAGCACTTATTATGTCTAGAATATTTATCATAATAATAATAATAATAATAATAATAAATAAATTTGTATTTTCAACAATATCCGTAGTTCTATATTTTCAATGAAGTTTATATATTACGTATTATTGTTTTTAAAATTGTTTTAAGAATATGAATAAAAAATTAGAAACAAATTATCAACTATTCACCTATTTATTTATTATAGCTCTACGCTGAAAAATGGTTCAAAAGATTTTCTTCTATAAATTTTATATATCCTAGCATTAAAAAGTATGTAAATATTTTTACGTACTTAATACGTAAACTGGGCAGATTAACCCTCTTGTCAAATCTCCTAAGTGATCTGGTCTGCTTCAACTAAGGCGTGACCTGCTCAGCACAACGGTACCGATGCTGACGGATCAATGCGTAATAAGAAAACTGGATCTATTTTATAATGACTTTTGTCGAGATTGTGGCTCTGCAGATGTAAGCAAAGTGTGCTCCTCCTTTGTGTCATCTTTAGTTAGCAGAAAATCTAATATCTTTAAGGTCGCTTTTCTTACCAACCTAACAAAGTTGTCATTCTGTAAAATTAGCGACTTAGCCAGGTTTATAGAACTGTCAATTTGATTTCATTTTTACCTGATGAGGGCGTCATACCTTTCCGCGTTGCTCGTACACTGACATCTAGACAGCGCATGTATAGGTGCTAATCCGGTCGTATTACAACAAGCCATTATTTGAACTTAAGTGGGTTTGGACACAAAGCCGCTACTTCAATATAATCTGACCTAATATATAGACTAAACCCTATTTCATATATAATTTAATACAATTATTTTTAATTCTTGAAAAATTGAGTTATGTTAAGTTGTGTATTCGTAAAAATATGTGCCAACCGTTCTGGACGTCTAAAACTGTCATTACTATTGATAACAACCATACTATATATGTATGGTTTGGAATCCATCAAATGGTTTTATATACTGTTGGTTTTTCATTCAACCATTTATAAAAAATATTTTATGAAGATAAAAAAATCAGAAAACTTTTAACGCGTTTGCTAACATTTGGCAAATAATATAATCACTTAAACATTACCAACACTCTTTAAAAACCTCTACATCAAATTTTAAAGACTAAGATATAATGAAAATGCTAAAGAAGAAAGATGATAGACCCCAGAAAAAGACGAAAGCTGTCAATCGATAGGATCATGACCCAAATTTTTTTTTACCATAAAACATTACTTAATATATTCAACGTCGTTATTATTAAGAACCCTAGATATTTAAAAGGAATGAAGTCCATGAATTGCTTTTGAAGTTTATTAATCTTTGTACTTATTCTCCATATCAGATTTCTAACTTTGTTTATAAAACGAAAGGTTTGTGTACGACGGCTAAAATTCTTGGGTCATGTTATAAAAAATCAGTGGGTGTTTTAAAAACCTTGATAAAGGTTTATGAAATTAGAAAGCGATCATGTAAAAAATATAAATAATAACAAAAATTTTAAAAATATTTTTGTCTATCGTGGGCAATTGCGACTTTATGAATCTGATAACAGAAATATAAAGTATATAAATATACAATATAAACTATTAAAATTTTATTAAGAATGCTTACAATTATTCTTTTTTTTTATTCTATACTAACATTAATTTTTCATTACATGCGTTCTGTGCAGTTGGAGCAGGTGACAGTTGTAGAATTAATAATGAAATATTTTCTAATTATCTCGATTCTACATATATAAAAATTCCCACGGTTAAGATACAGAAATAGTGCAATTATTAAAAAAGAAAATAACATGTTAATATCCTTTTTAAAATCGAGTTCTCAACCTATGTTACGTGCAACAGCACTTAAATTAACCACACAAGTGACACTGTACTTTTACCCTCCCTCTTTATAAACCTTCAATTACTGGGCTACCGCTGTATATAATTTGTCACACACGTCGGTGTAACGCTACTATGTACATACACAGTTGTCCGTAATCTCAAAATAAAATAGGGTAAACATGGAAATTAAAAAAATAAAAATATTTAGCTGATGACTTGTTGAATCAGAAAAATTCATATTAAATTTTAAGATTTATTCTAGTTTCAAATAAATTATTATTTGTAATGAATATTATGTAGATTACTCGATACTAATTCCAATCCATTGATTTCAATACAGAACTAATGTTTTTCATATATTTCCTGCAAAATTATTATAAACTACGATATACATATTACTAACAATCCACAAAGAATTGAATACTATTATAGCTATTTACAACAAAATACAATAATCTTTCTCGAACAATTTAAAAAAGTATTCCTTCCAAAATACATATAATTTTAATCCATAATTATTAGTTAGCTAAAATCTTTAATCTAGCAAATTGTAATATTTAACACAGTCTACATTTTGAGATAACCTCGATAGAACTTGAATAGTTCTATTGATAACTTATTCATTAAGCAATTGTGCATAAATTGATTTAAATAACGATTAAATAGATTTTGCAAAGTACATCCACTAGACTTTTCAAGAATACGCCTCGTTATTGAAGCCATCTATTTTAAGCACAAAAGTCGGTAAGGTAAAAGACCCAATAATTAAAAATGAATAACCAAAAGTTCTCTTTACACCTACACATATTTGGGAACGGTTTTGTAATGATATATATAGATGGTGTGTATGGTTTATGTATAGTTAATTTTGTAAACGTCAGTCTCTTATAAAGTATATATTCTTTATTTATTTAATAAACATATTTTTAACATAAAGTTATTTAGTTGATCTAAATCGTTATAAGAAGTGTTTCTGAGAGATTGAAATTATATTTATAAAATAAATGAATAAACCAATACGAATTAAACACCCACTTTTCAAAATTATAAATAATTCTTTAATTGATTTACCAACCCCAATTAATATCTCTTCTTGATGAAATTTTGGATCCCTTTTAGGATTATGCTTAATCATTCAAATTTTAACTGGACTATTTTATATGTGCTTTCGATGTGTTAATTCGATGGCGAGAATAGTTTTCAGCAAGAATATAAATATAAGGTCACATAAAGATTTGTGTAGTTTTTGTAATGGAATTAGCCATAGGACTTCGACAATAGGTCTGTTCTACAAACTACTTTTAGTAGAACTCAAGTAACACAAAAGTAAATTTCAAAACTGAAAAGAAAAAGTCATTACACTTTCATTAATATAATTCATAATTCCATTAATAAAAATACTTTCACTTGATAATACAGTCTTCCATGCCTTTTTGATGAAAACCATCCAGTATTTGGAAGAGAATAATTGTATATGCATTTCTTGCAATGTTTAAGATTTCTCGATCCCAACAACGTCCCACCAACAGTAAATAATTGTAATGTTCCATAATAAAAAATATCGTCTTTAATAGATTACGCTGGGTTGAGTCAGTAGTTTGGAAGACATGAATGAACATATATTCTAAGTAGTCTTTCTACAACAAATGAGTGTCTGACATTTTGCTAGCATAGTAGGACATGTTGATTAGAAGAGCTTATATTCAAATTGATTCATAATTTAGAAAGTCTAATAAGCTATTGGAAAAATAATTTTAAAAGAAAAATAAAAATTTGGATTCTCAGAATTATTTCATATTAATAGTGATAGATGAGACAACAAAACATTATTGAAAAAAATTAATGTTATAAAATATTTTTTCAATATTTTATAAGAATGAGAATAAGAATTTTTCAACTGTAGTTCTAATATACGATTATGAGAAAAAGTCATCACACTTTATGTTAATGTATTTATCACTTGCATTTAATTCTTGAATAAAAACATATTTTTATTCGCTTATACTATTTAAAATCGTTGTAACAGAATTAAAGTAAAATTTTCTATTTTCTAGAATTGTCATCCATCTAGACATCCTTCTAAACAAAAATTTCGTTGTCTTGAAGTGATTCAAATTAACTTGTCAAAAAAACGTCGCTCCCCGATTTTTGAAACAAAATCTAGCATTGGTATTTGAATTGGAATTTGAATTTATCTAAAAAAATATATGAGAATAAATGTGACTCTCATAAAAAATTATTATCAAATCAGTTCTAATACTTACATAAACTATTTTTGCATGTACTTTGGAGAAGTTGCCTCCAATGACTTTATGACTTCCCCAATGAGTTTCTTATAATGTTCTAATTGTTTAGGTTTATAAACACTTCTGGCCTTCCAAACATCTAGCATTTTTTCAATATACTTCAGTAACTTCAAATCAGTACATCCTGTTACCAACTTTTCGAAGACGTAATCTAACATCATCTGAAAATGCCAAATAATGTTGGCTTTAGACTCTTCAACGCATTTTTGATGAACACCATCCAGTATTTGGAAGAGGACAATTGTGTGGAGATTTCTTTCAGTGTTTAAGACTTCTCGTCCCCAACATCGCGCCAACAAGAGGGAATAATCATAATGTTCGATAATAAAAAGTACCGTCTTCTGTAGACTACGCTGGGATGAGTTAGTTGTTTGGAAGACATGAATGAACATATCTTCTAGGTAATCTTCCTCTTCCGCATCATTTCCTGATAATTTGCTAATATGGCTAGACATGGTGCCAGAAAGAACTTATATACAAATTAGTTTCTAATTTAGAACGTCAAATAAATGTAAAAGTAAATTTTTGGAAAGAAAATAATAATTTGAATGTTTAAAAATATCTCACTTTAGTATTATAAATGATACAATGTAACTATGTTAAAAAAAATTTCTTACAATTTTTTATTAGAATATACTATGTAATGAATGATTTATAATCATTAATAGATATCTAGGACCGAAAATACCAATTATTTCAAATATTTTTAAAAAAAAAAGTAGCAATGAAAAGTTCTCTAAATTCTTATTTAAGTATATAATTATCAATCTGACAACTTTGGTTCATAATATTATGCTTGCTCTATGTATATGAGCGTTTTGAAATAAAAGTCAAAAAATAATAATTATATTTACTTTATAACATATTACTCCAAAATAATTACCTACAGCAACCATTCAATACATTTTATGTGAAATTGCAAAAACATTTTTTTTTATTTTCGTTTTTAAAAATATCAGGCACGCCGGGTGAGTTATATTTTGTTTTCAAAAATAAAAATTCTTTCTGTGTTTTACATTTTTAAGGTAAAAATAATAGTTATTTGTGCGTTTTAAAATAAAAAGCAGAGTGTAAGAGTTATTTGTGTGTGAAGTAATAAAAGGCGCATGATAATAATTATTTTTAGAACATATAATATAAAGCAAACCTAATTATTATTCCTTGAGTTTTATTTTGAAATGCGAATGATAAGAGTTATAAGGTGATTTTTATTTTTTTAATTATAAATGTTACGGTCACTGATAGAAACATATCTGTTCTTTGCACTTATCCGAAAGTAATGGAATAAAATCTTAAATATATTCAAGACGATTTTAATACAAATAAATTTCATGTTTTCGAATTTTAAAAATGTCAGGCACGCCGGGTGAGTTATATTTTGTTTTCAACAATAAAAATTCTTCCTACGTTTTACATTTTTAAGGTAAAAATTATAGTTATTTGTGCGTTTTAAAATAAAAAGCAGAGTGTAAGAGTTATTTGTGTGTGAAAAAATAAAAGGCGCATGATAATAATTATTTTCAAAACATATAATATAAAGCAAATCTAATTATTATGTTTTGAGTTTTATTTTAAAATGCGAATGATAAGAGTTATAAGGTGATTTTTATTTTTTTAATAATAACTGTTACGGTCCCTGATAGAAATATATCTGTTCTTTGCATTTATCCGAAAGTAATGGAATAAGATGTTGAATATATTCAAGATGATTTTAATATAAATAAATTTTATATTATCTTTTTGACTATTCGGGCTGTTACTTTCTATAACTTCCTCTCTGTAACAAATTATATAAGTTGAATTACAGAGGAATATCAATTGGATTATGCACAAATATGGATGTCTACATGTTTTCAAGTTCACATGTCTAGTTATAAGTACGATAAGGAATGCTAGGGAATGCATAATTTTTAATTTTGTTCCCTACTACTGCACCTTACTGCTTCCATAATTTTCTCATAATAATTTTTGTATAAATCCAGAATTGCTTAAGTGCATGCACCTCAGGTTTGTCTGTCCGTGCATCACAAGTGTGCATTATAAATGGAGCGCGGTGACTGCACACTTGACTCAACACAATAAGACTGCAAGTGCTATTGCGCTTTCCAGCACTAATTAGTCCGCGCACTTGTGCTCGTAATTCAATTTCTTTTGCTATTCGTATTACTGAAGTAAATTCGTATTTAAATGAAACGCGTGAGATCATTCATCTACGTTAATATTTGCGTTTAAGCGCGATTTTGAATTATATCGTTTGAGCGAATAACACAGCAATTCTTATTATTTTTACCTGTTTCTTGAACTCAATTCGTCGTAATTCCTAGCGTCTTCTTCGAGATTCTTGAGTTCAGTTCTGCACCTGTAAGACACCTGTGCGCATTCGCACAAGTGGAAAATTAATGAAAAATTATGCAAAAATTATTCACATAATATTTCACTCTTGTAATTGAGATGCAAATGTCTGTATGCGCGTTTAAAACTATATCGTTTGGCTGCGACCAAATAGTTATAGAAATTTTATAAAAACCAATGTTTTATAGATGATTAGTCATAACAATATTAACTGGAGATAACTGGAGAGGTTTCTATTTTTAAAGGTGATATGAAATCCAAAGTTATAGACTTACATTAAGCTCTTATTTCGACAACAAAGAGAATTTAAATAGAAGCCTTATATATTCTTGAAGGAATAGTCAGACATATATGCCTTACATCATTGAAGCACTCAGACACGCGGAGTGAAATCAGTTATATAAATAAGCTTCATGAAAGATCAGTTCTGTTAAAAACTAATGAAACTAATGAAAAGTGATGAAAAGTATAGAAAATGAAAAATTGACAACAATAATCCTGAAACTATATATTAGTACGTCTTCCTGGTCTTACTGATGGAATCAAATCAGTTATATAAGTGAGGAATTCAAAAAAACTTCATGAAAGATCAGTTCTGTTAAAAACTAATGAAAAGTATAGAAAATGGAAAATTGACAACAATAATCCTGAAACTATATATTAGTACGTCTTCCTGGTCTTACTGATGGAATCAAATCAGTTATATAAGTGAGGAATTCAAAAAAACTTCATGAAAGATCAGTTCTGTTAAAAACTAATGAAAAGTATAGAAAATGGAAAATTGACAGTAACAATCCTGAAACTAAACATCAGGTTATCTTAACTTAACAGCAAATATCTTAACAGTAAACAACGAAATAAAGCACGCTTACTCAAGCCGAAACCAGCTAAGAGTGACTATATATATCGATCCTTTTGTTTATGCTACTACACTCAAAAATGACTTCGTTTACCGCCAGTAAAAAATTTATCAACTGTTTTTTGTTTGGGAATTTGACTCATCTAAGCTATACTTGAATCGAAGTTATTGCTGCAAATGTTTTCTTCGCACATTCAAAAAATTACTTCCTTTACCGTAAGAATCTATTAAAGACACTACGACTAGAAGCACTCTATATGCTGCTATGTCTGAATTTGGTGTCCCAGCAAAACCCATACGACTATATAAAATGACGTTGAGCAGCACCACCAACTCTATTAGAATCGGGAAGAACTTCTTCGAGCCATTTGATACCAAACGAAGTTTTAAAAAGGGTAACTCCTTATCATATGACTACTTTACCCTTATGTTGAAAACGATAATTCGAGTACCACATTTAAACCGCACTGGCACAATACTCCACAGAAGTATATTGCATGCTTGTGTATGGCAGTAATTATTGATTGATATCATTGCTATAAACACCCATGCCATCAGTGCAGCATTTTTCAACTTAGGAAAACAAGCGTAGCAAATGGTTCCTGTGGTAAAAGTGGCCAAAACAAAGTACTTTCTTTCAACAAATATTTTTCCTGAGCATCTTAGGATCCACGTCACTATTGACAATTACAAATACGAAGTTGTGAAAGACTTTGCTTATTTGGGAAACAGCGTGAACACCAAAAATAACGTCAGCCTAGAAATTCAACGAAGAATCACTCTTGTCAACAGATGTTACTTCGGGTTGAGTAGGCAATCGAGATATAAATGGACTTTCAAGACAAACAAAAATCAGACACCATATGTCTCTTATCATACCTGTTCTGCTGTATGCTGCGAAAGCTTGGACAATTACCAATAGTGATGTGAAGACGTTTGGAGCAATCAGGAGAAAAATTTTTCGGAAGCTCTATTCATTGCGTGTTGACGACGAGTACCAAATTAGATGAAACGATGAGCTGTCTTAGCTATACCGCAATATTGACATAATTAAGCACATAAACATTTATGCATAAACATGTCGTGGGTACAGAAGAAAGTATTCCGGCTAGAAAAGTGTTTGATTCGAAACTTGTAAGCGGAAAAAGCGGTAAATAGGGTCCGAATCTTCAGTGAAAGGAACAGGTAAACCAACGATTTGGAGGCGCCCAACATTACAAACTCGCGAGAGCAAGGAACTGATCAGGCTGACTGGCTGAAGTTTACTGGACGCAGCCAAGGACGACCCACATCTGTAATGTCCAACTAAGTAAGTAAATAAGTAAATCTGTTATAAGATTATAGTAAGGATGAATGTAATCATGCAAGGCTCCTTGCGACATGGCTCGAAGTTAATATTTTATACCTAAACCAATCTACGAAAAGTATGTGAAAGATTGCATCGTGCGCTCCCATAGTTACAAGGAAGACAAAGGAAGACTTAATGATTTTTTTATACTTTACCATATATATAATAGCTTTATCTGCAAGAATATGAAAGAATATCTTTAAATAATATTTAATACTCAACTGATGAATAGTTAAATTACTTCATTTAACTTAACTTGATTTAAATTTCACTTAGGACTTTTCTAAAATTAAAATATATATGGAGGTTTCAATAAAGCTGTCCTTTCGAAGTTTTGCTATATTTAACATCAAAAGTTTTTTTTTTCTAATTATTTGTTTTTTTTTTTTTAATTTGTCATTTGGGAGCTGCAAGCGAAGTGAAGTCCCAACAACGGAAACTCATTGGCAACGCTTCGTTGCGTTTTTGTTAAAGTTACTTACTTGTACTTTTAATTTACAGAAAAAAAACAAAAAACAAAAAAAAAGAATAATAAACAAAAATAAATAAATAAATATAATAATAGTGTAATAATAAATAAATAACAACAAATCTGACCCCAACAATTGGAAAGGCCTCAAATATTGTTTAATATTTCAGTTACGCTTGGCAACACCAAAGCATCGCGATAAGTTAATTTCTTTAACAAAAGTTTTTTTAATAATAAAATAAAAAATGAAAACAGCTCTCATATATATATAACTATATATATATATATATATATATATATGATGTACTTTGCACTATGCGTATATATGCTTCTTGCCATTGTTTAAATCTAAACCAACAATTTTAATAAGTGAAGTGAAATGTTTATAAAAAAAAAAGGGTAAATCACTCAGTAGCAACGCACCAATTCCAGTACTGGCCGAATTTAGCTTTATTTTATGATTTCAGAGATATTTCTACCACCTTAACGAAGAGTCTTCAGACCGATATGAGTGAAACACTTTGGAATCATAACAATATTAGATAATTTTCATGTGTGAAGTGAACACCTGAGCTGCGGAAGATTTGAAAGTTCTTGTGCCGTAACGTCATTAAAATTAATTTAACATATACCATATATATTATATGACTCTATCTACCATATATGAGCTCCACACTGTCAAGACCAGAGTACAACATGAGATACAAATAAATAAGCACAAAACATTTAATCATAAAAAAATGCAAAAATTAAAACAAAGAAACTACTAAGTCTTTAGAAAAAGTGGGGAAGCGTACTTGAAGCATATAGAGTTTCATGAAAAGTTCTGCTTAATTTATGACGCTTGCGCCTTTCGCTTTGATTAAGTAAAAATTTTTGGTTACGTTTCGTTTGCGATTTATTGAGTGCTACCTTGTGACTGCCTGCCTGACTGTCTACTTAACTACCTGTCTCGCTACCTAACAACTCTAGTATTCTTTCATTTCAATGGACAAGTATTCTAATAAATTGGACCCCTTCGTACACAGCATGCTCTGAAGGTATTTGCGAATATCTTTAATACATGCGAATAACTAGAAACTCTATTACTTTTATTAAAAAAGCAACAATGCTTGAACAAATCTACTACAAACTCATTAAATTCGTTTATGAAGTTTATTTAATTAATTTATATATGTAAAAAAGTTGCAATCAATTATTAAAATCATTTTTAATTATTATTATTTACATCATGCTAATTTATGTATTAAATAAAAAAACTTTACACAACCTTCCTTAATAAATTATTTATTGCACTTATATATAACATATATAGTTACTTACTTCACGTAGTTGACCATTACAGATGTGGGTCATCCTTGGCTGCGTACAGTAACTTCAGCCAGCAAGCCCAATCAGTTGGTTGCTGTCGCCAGTTGGTAGTTCCGAGCGCACCCCCAAAATGCAGATCGGTGGATCTAGTCCATGGACGTCCTTTACCACATTTCCCAAATGTGAGTACTGAATCAAATACTCTTCTAGTCGAACTACTTTTTTTCATACGCACGGCATAACAAAGCAGCGAAGCCGTTGAATTTTCATGCACTTAACTATAAATGTTGCGGTATAACTTATACAGCCCGTAGTTCCATCTAATTCAGTTCGCGTTGTCAACCCATAAGGGACCATAGAGTTTTAGAAGAATTTTCATCTTGAATGCTCTTGACGTCTCCTCATCACTGTTGGTAATTGGCCAAGCTTCTCCACCATACAGCCGGACAGGTATGATAAGGGACATGCTTGAGAGGTATGATTTTTGTTTGTCGAATAAAGATTTTCTTTCACAATTGCCTACTTAGCCCAAAGTAACATCTGTTGGCAAGAGTGGTTCTTCTTGGAATCTTGGGTTTTTACGCTGGTTGTCAAACAACAAAAATCTTTCACAACTTTGAACTTATAACTGTCAACAGTGACGTAGGTTGCAAGACGCCCAGAAAATTTGTTTGTTGACAGAAAATACTTTGTTTTATCCTCATTTACCACAAGACCTTTATTATATAGTTAGTAAGATATTATGTATTTAATATATATTTTTATATAAAACAAGTGATTATTTAGTTTGCTTATATTTGTTAGTTAATTACTAGTTAACAAAAAAATATAATCTTTTTATTTAAGATATATCGCTAGACGTCTATAAGTGTTACTCTATTCTGTAAAAAAGAAAACTTCGATTAAACATGTGTTCATGAGCCTCTTTCATAGTACTGATGAATACATACGTCCAACAATATATTATATAGTACATTTACCTTATAAAAAAAAAATTAATGTTGTTTTAGGTTATAATATTCAGACTATATAAGTTAAGTACAAGTTATTATTAAATAATAATGTCAAAGATTTTATGCGATTCAAACAAAAAAAAAAATGTACTTTATTCACCGTCTGACCTTCTGAGAGAAATTGACTCTTCATCCTTTTGAATGAAAAAAACAGCCAAATTGTCTTGGTTTTCCAATCAATAAACAGGAAAAATAAGAGAGACATGAAGTGCATAGGATTTATTTTTAAAATCCACTTTTTATTTTTATTTTTATAATGAAGTAGTCTATAATTCTTAAGGACTTCAATAGTCAGATCAAAAAACATCTATTAGTACATGAGATATTAAGATATTACTTACATTTTGACATTCAAATTTTTATCTAAGAAAACTATGAATTTGTATTAACCAAATTGATATGAACAATCCATATAAAATATAAAATAGTTATTTTTTCATAAGATTAATATTTTTTGTGTTCCTTTTATAATTGGATTGTAACAAATTTTGAACTAGCCATGTCGGTTTCTATAGAAGGTAAATGAAACATTTCTATTATTAAAAAAAAAAAATACAGACCTATGGTTAAGATTAGACAGCATTGCAAAGTGTGTACAAAAAATGGAACTTACATAGTAGGAAGCTACCACTAACTTTTTACAGACAGCTTCAGTACTTTCTTTCAATCAACATATTTTTATATAAAATAAAGCAATTTCTATATCATTAAATTAATATATTAGATTCATAATATTACTTGCAGTACTCCTCTTGACGGATCTACATTTTTTTTTACTTGTTTCCACACACCTCGATAATTGACTTTTTATCTGTAGTTTTGTATATGGAGCATTTTTTTACAAATCGGACACCTTTTTGATCTCATCATCTCCGATTTGACCGATTTGGCAATGTGTCTACAAAGCTAATTGTCAAAAACCTCTTACGTAGATATCTCTATCTATATTTTTCCCGAGATACGAGTCTTCAAATTTTATTAAAGGAATTCATAAAAAAATTTCAATCAAATCGGAGATTATGAGGTCATTTTTTGCCAAAATCTGTCCGATTTATAAGAGAATGACCCATATTCATCGTTTTTATGTCATTTTCAACCACATCAATTCACATTTTTCGGAGTTCCCTCTTACAGCAAAAGCTTGTCGTGGCAGTACTGTTATATACAGAGAACTGCAGAAACTCTCCCCCAATTTCTTGAATCAAACGCTTGCTTGACATTAAGCCAAGTATTTGATAAAGAGTAAAATATTGACCGGTGGCTGAAGTTGTACCATGATGAAGTCAATTTCATTAGCTTCATAATTTTATAGCTATTGAATTATCCCTTTCACGCCAGTATATTGAGGCAGCAGGTTTCACATCTAAACACATTTTTGAGCATCCCATAAAACTATTTCATTGCCTGCAATGGTACATTCTATTATTTTAATTATAGTAATTTTACAAATTTTTCTTTTTTTATTGTGCTAAGATATCATCCTCAACATTACAACTGATATCAAGGTGGATTTTCTGATATGAGTTCTATCTATTCTTAAACTTAAACCTATTCTTAAAGAAAAATTCGTTCTTAATGTACTCTTATTTTACTCTTATCATAAATAAATCACCTATTTTTTAATTTAATTAAATTTACTGCTGACTTACATGTTTCCCTTCTCTTAGATTTTGAATACATTATAAATAGACCGCCGGTAGGAAAAGTTGCTTTTGGAACAACTATGGACCGTGAGGTATTGCCAGTGAAAGGAAAATTCCTAACTTCATTTATGCGGCGTAATATAGGTGAAGTGCGCAATCATCCCGCACCAGGTACATACAATCCAAAACTTCCACTTCGAAATCCAGTAAGCTGAGTATATATATAATTACACTATAAACTATGCATACATACATGTAGATAAGTATACTTAATAGGTCAATCTATTATTTTATTTTTAGTTTCCATCCACTAAAGGGTGGTCAGTTTTTTTGCGATTAAATTTAAGATTTGCGGAAGAAAAACCTTCACCATATCCTTCAATAGGATATTATGATGTGGAAAAAGTAGTAGAAATAAAACCACCACGGAATCCATTTAATTGCCCACATGAAGACAAAAAAGATGCTTACTTTCCAAAAGGATCGCGAGCTTTCGAGTCAGTATTAAACAATTCCATCATATCTATTTTTTTGGTGTCATTTTTTATTTTAGAGTCGGTCATTATCAAATTGAGAATCCAATTAAGAAGCCAATGATAAGAACTCACTTTCGAACATGCCGTGAAATTAGACCAGCTATAATAACAGTCTGTAAAACCAAAAATAAAGCTAAATGTTACATATGTGATACGACACCTGTTGGTGATTATTTTTGTGACTTTGATCAAAAACTTGATGTGTGCCGTAAATGTATGAAAAAGAAAGTTGAAGAAACAAAGAGCTGTTTACTGGATTTCAAGGAACGTTGGATAATGCAGGGTGACCTGGAACGTTTTAAACAGTGTCGGTACTGTGATATTATACATAATCACAACAATACCAAGGCTTCAATTAAACTTATGACTAAAAGAGAATGGGAAAGAAAAATTCGTATAGAAAATTATTTATATCCTTACATGATAAACACACCTATTCAATATAGGGAACCACAATGAAAACAATTTCTCTATATTATTGTACTATTGGTGGCTTTAAATTAATTCTCGCAATTTATTATAAGATTTTATTTTATAAACTAGTAACTCTTTTATAAATCAATGCTACTATAAATAAAAATGGTTGCGAATTAAAAAAAAATTTAATTAAATATGACATCATTTATGCATCTTCCAATTCTAACCTATTTTCTGATCAATGGCCAAACAAAACTTTAAGCTTTCAAGCCTTAACGGATTTTGAGAATAGAATTTATCTACAGAGCATTGTTTCCTATATACCATAAACTGTTCAGTAACGTTTATATTTTCGAGACACTTATACATCTCTTATCTCCATTCTTAAAAATAGGATGAAATATAAATTTTTGGTCATGAAAAATCTTTTGTTTTAGAAAAATAGTACTGTTCGTAACACCTATATCACAAATTTCGTATAAATATCTTTTGAGAACAACACAAAGTTAATTTGAATATGATTTGATTTTTTATTATAATGTAAACGATGAGAATGTTGCAAGCGGGCCTATAGTACCAGGCTATGTCATAAAAAAGTTTACAAGTGGTATAAAACAGGGCTGTTCAAACCAGATAAGATCACAGGACAGTTCAAATCATTGGGGAGCCGCAGAAATAATTACGTACGTTCATAATTTTGTCGGAGAGAAATAAGAGTACGGCAATAATGTTAAATTAAGTTTTATTAATTCTTCATTAATTTATCTTTTACAATTCTATTAACAACAACATTATTAGTATTAGTTTTTGCCATGCAAAAAATATCTTATTTTTAATATAATGACATGCACTAGATATGAGTTTTTAAAACCAGTTGTAGAAAGAAATATATACTAAAATCTTTGCAAAGTAGTAAATTAACGTTAAGTACAATAAATTATTTAAAACATTTTAATTTATTTCATATAGCAATGAAAAATTTGTCTAATTGTGGTAGACTAAAAACATGTTGCGGGCCGTATGAGACCCACCGACCGTGCTTTAGCTTTATACAGCCCTGGTATAAACCATTCAACTATTAGCAAATATGCCTAATAGTATTTATGAAATATTTATGAAAGCATAAATAAAAGAAAAAGAATATTAAAATATTTGTTCCCAAAAATCGTCGATTAAGAAATAGAGTCCTCGTTGAATACTATTAACATTTAGTGTGGATTAGTACAGACTATTTTGAAAAATATTTTATGCTTCAAAAAAAATTAAAATCTCTTTCGTTGACACAAATACTCAATTTTTTTAGTAGTTCTTCAAGACAATTTTGTCAAAAACTCAATTCAATTATAGTATTCACCTATGTTTGCACCAAACAAATTCTCTTTATGCCCTAAGTTTAAGAAAGTATGTCAAGGACAACGTTTTGACACAATTGAAGAGAGAAAAACCGAATCATTGTGCACTTCTGAGCTCATTTCGTAAATCAATTTAAGTAATAGTAACCAGGATTGAAAAAAAAAACGAGTTCTTCGAAAACGATGATATTTTGAAGAATCCATACAATTTGTATGGATTTGTATTTTGTATTTTGATCAAAGTGTTTTGAGATTTTTTGCAAAAAGATGACAAACATTTTTAAACTTGTCGCAACATGCATGCGTAGCTTTGTCTTCAATCTCAGCGATCAATTTTAATGTGAAGATCAGCACAATTCAGCCTACAAATGAGATTACAGATCTATATAGATATAGATTTATGTATATATACTCGTAATATGCACTTACTAGTTACTCTTCATTGGTTATTGTTTTTATGATATTGTAGCTACCATGACTTTCTCAGTATTAGACGTCCCTAGATTAGGTTCTATACATAAGAAAGAATATATACCTAAATCATGCAACAAATAATGTCTCTACAAGCAGAATGGTATTGAAATTTAACAATTGAAAATAATAAAAATATAATTAATTAATTAAATTATTCTACAGCTGGCTTATGATTACTTTCATAGCAAATTAACAAAATAAAATTACAGAAAAACGTGCGTTTAAGGTGCGCTGACTCTGAGCTTCAAATTTGGCAGCGCACGAGTTCGATTACTGTTACTTGCAGTCCCAAAAAATTTTTTTACGAATAATTAAATACAATAATTATTTCCAAAACCACTGTTGATGGGTATTCGGCAATACTCGAAACAGCTGTATGGTCAGCCAAATATTAATTAATTAAAAATAATATAAAATTAAATTTTTGTTGTTGTAGTTCACTACTGTTCGAAAAACCTTATTATCTTAATAATATATAAGAAGTATGAGATGCATAAGAAGAGCATTTAAATTATTACAATGGAAAAATAAACTTTATACCATAATAAAAACACCCGCTATTATTTATTTACATTGAATATTTAAATTAAATAAAAATTGATTGTTTTTCTTATGATAATTTTTTGAGTGTAAAAATATCATTCCAACTCAAACAGTTCTTATCAATTAAAGATACGAAGTGAATTTATTTTATATACTATAATTAAGCCAGTGTTAATTCAATTCTCGTGCGGTTCGTACGATTTCAGAAGAGAAATAAATTAAAAAAATTTAATTTAAAAGTAACAAAATTAATTAAGAAATGTTTCTATTATTTTTACTTTTATCGCATTCTACTGATGCAAATGCTTTGCAAAATGATAAAGAATTTTTAATTGAAACAAAAAGGTAATAAAAAAAAACACTGCACGTTGCCAATGAAATTATTTTTCAACTAAATTTATACGAAAAAAAATCATATCTCTTTCGCATAGTTTACCCAGTGACCTGAACTTTATGCCGACATTAAGCAATGGACATCTTGGGTACACAGTTTTCGGTAATGCAATTTTCATGAATGGCGTCTACAATGGTCACGCCGGAGATAGCCGACGCGCTCGTATACCCAATTGGCTGAATGTAAGCGTTGATGCTGTTTTTCAGCATAAGACGACCGAAGAAGACCGCTTTATTGGGTATCTGTCCGACAACGCCACCGTAGATACAGCTTATACATTAAATTTGAGAGATGGCTATTTCCGTTGGCGACAAACCTACAGAAATGCTACCGGCGCTTTACTGCTGCAATTGGAGCAGCGGACATATGCACACCGCTTCTTCAATCGCGCTTTGGTTTACGAGCTGCTGGTGCAGCGGGAACTAACCGAAGGTGTGAGTTTTGTGCCGGCGCTTAATTAAACTAAAAGTTTGTTTGTATTTATTTTAATTTTAACCTCTTTTCCTTTGAAATTTTCTGACACACGCATGTGTACGCATTTCCGCTTTACAAGGAAATTTTAAAAATTTATAATTTTTTCAAAAATTATTTTCAATTTTTCTTTTTTTTTGTGTTTATATTGTTTTCATCTTTTTGTGTTTTATCACCTCTTTTTTTAGAGTCATTAGCTTTGAACTTAATACAAAAACCAGGCGCTGCTAGTGAGGCTTTTAATTTCACGCTGGTTAATCTAAACAATCCGAGTTCAAATGACAGTGTAGCCATGAAAGTGCTTAAAGGTACCACAAGAGTCGTGGAGAATGAACAATTCCAAAAGGCAGCCAAAACAGTTTTTATAGTTTTTAGTGATAATTTTACCAATGAAAAAACTTTAGAAATGTTACCTGGCCAACAACAACTCTACTACCGCTTCATAATAACGGCAGATGAAGTGGCGACAAATGCTGTATGGGAAATGCAAGAGGGTAATTGTCTAGATATGTCATTAAAATGGACTGAAATAGAAATCTACTAAAAATTTTTTTAATTTTATAGTTTTGCACCTTGAACCAATAGAAATGCTGAGAACTCATGCCAGCGAATGGCAAAAGTTTTGGCAAGAATTCAACATAACCATACAAGGAAATCTGGAATTAGTAAGTTCATTTGTGGTTACTCTTATATTTTTTTTTAAATACGCTATTTTTATATTTATATCAGATAAATATTTAGTTAATTACTTTTCAAAATGTAAACATTTTGTTTCATTTTATTAGGATTAATTATTAATATTAAATTCTTTTTTTGTGCGAATGTGATGCATCTTATGACGAAAGAAAGAAACTATTACAGTGTGTTTTACCTATTCAAGTGACCTTATCTTTCTTGTGTAAAATTATTTTTCACTGACTCAAATTACAAAAATTTGTGAAAATAATTAAAATTTCAGAATCCATTCACTATAGGCATTCTTTTGCCTTAACTATGACCGTCAAACGATTTAAAAATGAGTTTTATGAGCTTTTTCACACGGTTTTGAGCCTTGTTAGAACATCCTTGGTTGACGACTAAAATTTTTGCGAGCACACGGCTCTTAAGCAACTCCCAAAACATTTTCCGATATTAAGTCCCAATGACTTTGACACCAGGCTCGATGAAATCGATTGGAGAGCGTCCATCGGCGAGCACAGTTGCCCATACCATTACTTGAGATGAAAAACTACGAGCATAAAAACTTATTCACTCTTTCGAGTCTAACTTTTTGTTACCTTGATGTAATATCTTGTGCCTTTTGGAACTTGTAAGGCTTTACCTTGAGCTCATTTTGGAACATGCGTCGGGTGCTTTGCTGGTATATTTTCAGTTCTTTGATCATTTGATTACCACCACGACGTATATTTCATTGAAACATTGAGTCGAACCTTCACTCTTCAAACCATTTCAGGTGATGTTGCTGTTTTTTTTTCGTCCACCAACATATCGCTTGGGGTCGCTGCCTGTACTATTATAACGATTTATGGTACGATACACAAATATTTGTGATTGTGGTTGGTTGTGATTGTGATTTTTCAACCACATATAACGCAATCGCACTATTACGTTTGAATTCCATAAGTTTCGAATAAGAATTCGAATAAGTTTTGTTCTATAAACAATAAACATACAATAAACAATATAAACAACATTAGTTTAATATCAGTTTAGTTAGTTTAATTAGTTTAATATCAGTTTAACAAATATACCTGTGTGTACCTGATACTTCGCATAGTAATAAAAAGACAACAACAATAGTAGTACTATAAACTATATATACTACATAGTAGATTGTACTATAAACTGAATTAAAATTCGAATACTTCCTAAGATCACTGATAATGAGTACTTGACAATACTCCAAACAGCCACAAATCAGAAAATTTGTGTATGGTCAGCCAAATTTGAATAAATTAATTAAATTTATGTCGCTGTCTTTTTATTACTATTCGAACCCTTTTAAGATTATTTATTGATTTTTAATGTTTGGAAAATTTAAGTTTTTACAGTAAAACTAAATTCAAACAAATACAGTGAAAACTCTCTTGAGCGAATACTTATCGTCAGCCAATTTTTATCCGTTCAAGACGAATGTAACACTTTTTGCGTGGAGAGACCCCAATATCTATTAAGTCTGATTACTTTTGATAAAAATCAAATTTTGTCGTCCAAAGCTCTAAGCTTTGTAATTAATGTGAATAATATTTTGAATAAAATTCTGCGTGAAAATGAAATAAAATTTCGAATTATAATATATATTGATATATATTATTATATATTTTCCTTGTATTATTTATATCAGTCAGACTAATGTTACAAATTATATATAATAATATATATTATTATGTATTTTCTTTATATTATTTATAGAAGTCAGACTAATGCTACTGATGCAACATGTTATAAACACTCTACTATTAGCATTTTACTTTTCATATAAAAAAAACTGCTCCAACATTAAAATTATCTAAATCGTATTCTTTTTTTCATCTCACAGTCCAAAACCATCAACGCTGGTATATTTTACCTGTCAAGCTCCTTACCAGCACTCAATACAAATCAAGCAAATAAAATTTATTTTGGTCTTAGTCCAACTGGACTAGGCAGAGGTGAACTCGATGCTGATTACGAGGGTCACAATTTTTGGGATACAGAAATTTGGATGCTGCCTGCAGTTACGCAAATGTCCACTAAGTGGGCAGAGGCTCTATTAAAGTATCGTCTTAAACACTTAAGTGGCGCACGTTTTAATGCAGAAACTACGGGTTATAAAGGGGCAAGGTAAAAATACGAAAGAGAAGCACAAAGCAAGTAATTGTTTATTTAATCTATGTGAATTTATTTTTTTCTTTTTTTTTATTTCGTTTTTTAGTCTTACTTTTCTTTACCTTATTTTTATTGTATGTTTGTTTGTTTGTTAATTGCTGTAAAGATTTCCGTGGGAAAGCGCCTTTACGGGTACTGAAGTCACAAATCCATGTTGCCCTGAGGTGGCTGCGCAAGAAATCCACATTTCGGCCGATATTGCCTTTGCGTTGCAGCAGCATTTCGCCATAACCAATGATCGTGTTTGGCTATGCGCAGTAGCTTGGCCACTTGTGCGAAAGATTGCAGCGTTTCTGGAGGATCGCGTTCAGCTGGATGCAAAAACGCAAATATATCACGTTAGAAGTAAGCATAAATGTAGCAAATGAGGAAAGTCGTACTGTCGTACACAGGAACAAATATGTCTTTGCTATTTTTTTTGATTTCCTAACAATTCTTTTTTCTTTGCTATTCATTATTACAGCTGTTATGGGACCGGATGAGGATCATTGGAATATTGACGACAACGTTTATACCAATGTTGTTTTCAAAATTGCTCTAGAATTTGCCAGGTTTGTATATATGCAATTTTTTTTGTTTACTGTGAAAAACTTTTTTAATATCTGTAACTAGGTATTAATAAAACTGAAAATTATATATAAGATTGACATATTGACTATTTTTCATAATACAATCGTATATTACACAAATAAATTAATATTCATATTTTTATACTTATTTTGCATATATCTTTAATATTGTAATTAAATAATAATGAATAGCAAAAATAAACAATAAAATGAACCTGATCAACTGACATAATTTACAACATTACCATTAGTTTACCATATGGTAAGCGATTGAACACAGTTCAATATAAACACTAATTTTCAAAAATTTTAGCCATAAATATTAATAAAAAATATCATATATTAATTTATCAACTTTGTGAAAATTAATACATCATATAATCATTAGAATAAATACCATTGTATTACGGTATCGGTGCTAAGGGGTCACTGCATAATAATAGCCTACCTATTATGCTATAATACCCTATAATGTTTTTTTTGTGATTATGGCTCTGAGGATGAGGAGAAAACTATGCTCCATCTCATTTGTCAGTGTCCATCTTTAGTTAGGAGACGATTTAAAACATGCTGTCATCCTACAAAAATTAGGACTTAGCTAAGTTTATGGAATAGTCAGGTTGGTTCATCTTTTCCTAATGGGGAACTTGTTGTCTTTCGGCGTTGGTCATACACTGAACTCGAGTCTATGTATTAACGTACACCAATCCTGTGTTACTGTAACGACTTTATTTGAGCTCAAGTTGGATTTCCTATGTATGAGGCCTAACCTTAACTATTGTATTGAAAGAATATTTTCATTTTCTTCTGATTTGCTGTATAATAAAATAAATTTTATACGAGGACGATGCAGTCTACCGGGTAACATAAATTACAATGAAAATATTATAGTACCGCAGTCCTTTAATCTTAACAAATAAAGTATAGACAAAGAAAATTATTTTTTTACTGTATATCTAAACAGCCTGAAGTCGAATTTAGTTAACACAAACTAAGAAATGGAAAGGATCTAAATTGTGTCAGTTCTCTAAGTAGTCTTACTATCTGTTACTGTATAATAGTACAGTGGAATCAGTGGAATCATATCAAATCAATTATATTTATAAAAAACTATGTATATATATTTAAATAAATTGCTTACAGTTCACTTATTACAGTTCATTAACCTAGTCTATATTCTATCTATTACGACAGATTATAGTAATCTATATCATTATAATAATCTGTAAGAGAGAGAGTGTAGCATTCTAGTTTATTAGATACAAATGCTATCCCATTTGTAATAAAATAATAAAATAAATAAATGAATAAAAGACATAAACGGACATATCAGGACTAGGAACTTGACATAAAATAAGTATATTCTTTTATCCCACAGTCCTCCTCCTTCTTTAAAATAAAGCAATGTAGTCGCATAGAATAAAGACCGGAATAACCTCTGTCGAAGAGCTTTACTTTGCAAAAAGATCAACTACTCTAGATCGTGAGTACTATCTTCCTCCAGGACCAAAACAAAGGAGGCTACCTACATGCAAATTGGCAAGGAATTTTTTTTCTTTCAGACGCTATAGACGATATCGAGTATATGAATCAGAATAACTTTGTTTTTAAGACTGTCACTTTATAACCATTTACTTATTATTGTCGAACTAACAACTGAAACTGTAATATATAGAATAGCCAGCCAAATATAGGACAGACGGCTAAATCCAAAGCTATTATTATCTTAAACACAGATTTTCTATTCACGTAAATTTGTTGTTCATATAACTCTCCTAATATATTATTTTTTTACTTTTCCGAATTTACTATTCCTATATTAACTTTCCAGTTTTAACTTTCACAGCGTTAAAATTCTATTGTTAGTTAGGATATTATTAATATAAATGTATTTATAATAATCTAATCAGAGATTAATGTGAATTTCAAAATTTCTTAACACATTCATTTTACGATCCGTAGTCGTTAACATCTACATTTTACGCTACTCTTCCCTTCAATAACATCGATCTCAGTTTTATTACATTTACTAAGCCTCTTTACCCTAGCAAGTAGGTGCCTCCGAATGTGGTATTTAGAAATAAACTAAACTAAATTCAATTCAATTTTTTTATACAAAATTATATATATATTTAAATTATAAACTTTGTTAGTAAGTAAAATATAACTTAAATCACCTCTGGCACACATAAGACAAATATTTATACTATAACCTAAAGACAGAGTATATCTATAATCTAACAAATTTATCGCTGACTATATCATAAAATCATATTGAATGTAGAGTTCATTGTAGAGTTCATCTGTAATCAGAAACTTCCGCCAGCTATGAATAGGTATTAAGTAGTATATATACCATAGATGTTAATACTGATATAACAAAAAATAGTATAGAATTAGGATTTAATCATATTGTGAAACTGAATACTACAACTTCAATTAATCTTTTAATACTACAAAAGGCCAGGACAAGGTCTTCACAACAGTGTGTTGCTACTAGCTCTAGATAGGTCTAAAAGTCTGATTCCGTTTCATACAAAGACAATATTTTGCTAAACGGTCCCATTTTTGTTTTTTTTTGATAAAGTAGCGCTAATGTATTTCAAAGAATAACATATAAGCCACCTGTGTTGTGTCCCGTTTTTCTATATATAGTGTGTAAATGAAAATCTATTATTTCATAAATGAAATTCTATCATCTCATTTACACACTATATATTGCAGGCTGAAAACCATTGAAGCCTTGAAGTATTTCAAGAAATGTGGAATAAAAAAGGATTTTTAGGCAACCGTTCAGAGACAAGAGATAGATTTCGAAGCTTACTTTATCTATCTTCAGGTGTATGAAATAAGAAGCATTTCATATTCCAAATCAGTTTTCATAAACCTATCTTATGAAATATATTATATATTATGTTATTATTATTATTACGTATATTATTATATTTTATCATATATACTATATTTATATCTATATGTATAAATTTTTTTATATATAAATGCATATATATGTAATATATAATATGTTATAATATATATATTGATTATATTAGATCAATAATTGATTTTTATTTTACAGTCTTACCCAAGCGATCTGCAGTGCAAAAAAACTATCCAACCAAAATTGGATAAAAATTGCTAAGAATCTTATTGTGCTGTATGACGAGGAACAAGATTTTCACCCCCAACATTTTGGATATAAAAAGTTCGAAATTGTGAAACAAGCTGATGTTATTCTCATTGGTTATCCTTTACAATATCCCATGAATGTGTAAGTTAAACATTAAGTTCTATAAGTAAGGAAAGAGGTCGATTAGTAATAGATTAACGATCATCCACAACTTCATGGTTAAAGGTTTAGAGTTTCTCTGTTCGCAAGGATGATGAACGAACATAGATAATAACACTCATATGCAAAGAGCCTTCAAGTGCCAGATATTAAAGGAGTAACGAATTAATCCAAACTCAACAGTACCAGCATTGCCAAAATAATTTCAAAGTTCCTTAGAGTGGTCGAATAATACGAATTACAATAATAGCACAACGATTTATACTTTATTTTTTAATCAAATATCTAATTCCTATTTATAACTATATCATTTAAGAAACAAAAATATGTTTTATTTATTAAAGTTGTCAAATTATTTTAGTTCCACACGCCTTAACGACTTAGACTACTACGTAAATGTAACACGAACGACTGGTCCAGCAATGACTTGGTCCATGTTCGCAATTAATTTCTTAGATGTCAAAGAAACTGATAAAGCTGATTACTATTTTATGAAAGGCTATAGGGATTATGTCAGACCAGAATTTAAGGTAATAACTTAATTAAAATGTATTTGATGTTACAGTACTTTCGAAACTCTCTTCGCTTGAATGATAGTTTTCATTCCAGGAAACTTTTTTTTTAAATCAACACTCAATCAAGTTTTTTCATATTCACTAATACCTTTGCTTTAATGGTTATATACTACGTTTAGGTATGGAGTGAGAGAGCTCTTAACTATTCTGGATCAGCAAACTTTTTAACCGGTATTGGCGGATTTCTGCAAGCGATAATTAATGGTTACGGTGGTATTCGTTTTTATAGAAAATTTGATAAATCAGTTATGGAAATAAATTCACGTTATTTATTGCCTAGTACTGAAGCGTACTCTTTAAACGGTAAGCTTATAGACAATAGATATATAAATATAACTTAATATATTACTTTTTGATTATTAAAAATTTAATCAAGATCTTTTTTCCATTTCTGGATAAACACAATTAGTACATAACATAAATGGTATATATACTTTTAATTAAACCTAAGTAATGCCCATAGTGACTACTGTGCTCTAATTATAGTGAAGGAATTCGCGAATTGTGGAGCATGGTAAAATCACAATTGAAATAATATCAAAACATCCCTCAAACATCACTTTGTCTCTCAGTTTATTAGCTCCCAGATATATAACATTTCATAACGTTTAACTAATAGCATTTGATATTAACACCAACTAGTAAGACCTACAAACAATTTAAGTCAATGAGTAAATATTTGGAATTCTAAACAATTAAATCAATAATAGAACTATTTCTCCTAATTTTAATCTTGGCAGACAAATACAACTTACAACCTAAATTTATTGTAATAAATTGGCTCCAATCTCTAATCACATAACTTCTTAAAACGATCCTTTAAATGTAAGATCTTAACTACTACGATTGCGAAGTTCCAACACTTTTATTAGACACGTCCTCACCCAATACTACTGTAGTAATTCATTATCGATAAGTCCATTTTTAGGAACTGTTTTAATAAATTCTTTAATATTCCTTCCTAAAAATATATTTAATAGAATAATTCAGAGAAATAGGATTGAATCCTTTTTTGAATTTGAATGTCATAAACTATAAAACCCGCCCAATGGGTATTAGAAATACTAGTTGAGAGTCTAATTATTCTCCACAATGAGTTTAAATCTGAACGATACAAATGTAAACCTTTACATTAGAAACTAAATATATCTTCAATGATAGTCATAAGTAGAATCATTTCGTGATATAAAGTAAGTAAAACAAAGTATTATAAGTAATCACGATTAAAGATACGATTACATCTAGGACACAAAGTCTTCAACAGAAACATGCCACACTCACTCGCCATTCGAAGGACAACAGCAAGCTTCAAGAAGAACATGAGAAAATAGACTACCTGATATTAAATGTGTGATCAATTAATTTTAAATTTTATAGAATATAGAATATATTTGTGGTTGTATACATCAAACGAAACGTATTATAATTATCACTATAGTTAATATACATCTAGTGTTGATTTACCGAAAAAACCACACATGATGGGAACTCTTTTAGTCTAAGAAAAATTGCACCATTCGTAATCATGCTTTGGCTAGTACCCCACGCTGTAGCGACATAAAAAGATTTTGATAAAGTATAAGATATAAGTTTTCGATTTTATATATTAGTTAAATTGTGAAGAGTATTCATATTCATATACGGAGTGAGTATTTCCTTTTAAAATACTATAAATATAAGAGATAATACTTTGATCCTAGAAACGATCTTGATCTTTATCAAGAGAGATACAGAATATTTTATATCTCCACCCAAAAAACCATATAGTTAAAAATGTTCATATCTCAGACAGTTTGTCGGACTCTTTATGGGTAAGAACAAAAGATCTGTTAAATTTTCTTAATTAAACGGGTTGAAATTAGTTTTTATCTATATAGGTTTCTTGTGAGGAATGTGATGATAACACGGTTAATTATCGCTAATTGCGAAAAGTAGAAAAATATTTGTTCACCTACCTGACCTACCAGTAGAACCAACCAACCTGTACTCTGTACTCTTTTAAAAATTGTTCCTCTATAACATCCAAGGCATTCTGATTTGAATATTATTTGAAATGAAATTATAAATTATTCATTTATCATCACAATCGTATTTTTGAGTATTTTAAAAATAATATAATTATTAATATTGATATTAAGTATGATATTTCATTAGACATATTCTCATATTCGAAATATTATTTAACTTTTTTCTTCTTTCATACCATTTAATTCAATCTCAGGAATTAAGTTTGCTGATGCTGAATTTTCACTCAATATCTCAGCAATCGCTTCAACTAGGTTAAGATGTTTGAAAATAGGAAAATTCGAATTGGAATTAATTTTATCTGATACAACATATAAAATTTACGAAGGATATTCAAGTAAGTGATGGCTTAATATATATATAAAATTAATTATAATTATCTTATAACTCATTTTAAAAATCTATATTATTTTTGCAGTTGAGATTGGAAATGCTATTGTTTATATTAAATTACATTAAAAAAAAGTGTAATAAAATAAAAAACTATTTGAAATTTAAGTAAAATACTTGTTTCTTTTTTTTTTGATTATTAATAAATTTTAATTAATTTAAAATACAATTTTTAAAATATTATAATTACTATTAATTAACATGCTGCACAATTTGAAATCCTATTAATTGAACCAAAACTAATTGAATCAAAAACTACTCCACAATCTTTAGTCACATATATATTTAACTTTTTTTTGTTTTTTGGTATCAATAAAATAAAATAAATTTTACATAATATATAATTACATAATTAATTATATTAAATAAATTACATATAAAATTATATATATAATTTTATATAATATATATAATTACAATTAGTACAAAAATAGTGTAGAAATAAAATAAAAAATAAAACTATTTTTCAATTTTTATTTAGATAAAAAATAGTTTTTATTTTTTACTCTATTTTTTTATTGAGCTATAGTTATTGCAAATTTTGTAATATTTTCTTTTTTATTTATAAATGAAATTATAAATAAACAAATGTTCTATTTTATCAGTTTAATGAATATATTGATTTTATATAACGAAAACTTAAACGTTTTTTACTTGGCCCCGAGATTTTTAATATATTTTTTAATAGTTCTATAAATTTTTTTCTTTAATTAAAAATAATTTGAAAAGTGCTTATTACAAATAATCACAAATAATTTTCATTTATAATTTTAAAATTAAATTTTAAAGAATACAAAGAATGCTTTAATTTTCATATATTTTTCGATTTTCAATAAACATTTAATAAAACATAATTTCAGAAAAATTTTGTAAGTATTTTATATACAACTGTATATTATTTGAATTATATTGTAATTGTATATATATATATATATATGTTATATATATATTGTTATTTGAATATGTTGATTTTATAAGTAATGAGTAAAATCTCTACACTATTGAATTTTATCGTTTGCGTTAAAGTTATTTTTTGGATATAACATTTATAGTATAAATATTTTTTAATTACAATTTTTGAATTTTCTTATTTCTTATTTATTTATTATTTATATTCAAAACATTTTTGTTTAAATAAAACTGTATATGTGTTTGTCCAAATATTTTTTATGCTCTTAGAGTACTAATTTAAATTTTTTACTTAAAACGGTATTTGAATATTTTTAATTTACAAAACCATATATTTTTCATTAATTATTATTTATATGTTATAGTTATTATTTATGGTATAATTAATTAAAGTATGTTATTCTTCTCATATTTTTAAAATAATTCTGTTTACAAAATTCTTGTTAAATTTTTTAATTAAAATCTAAAATGTAATTGAACAATTTCAACTTTTTATCTAAACGAATTTTTTTAACATTAAGCAACTTTTAGTTTAAATGATATAGATAAAAATTTACTAAAACATTTTATATGCAAATTATTTGTATATATTTAGTTAACTTATGCTATGTAATATTTTTGTTAATTAAATTATATCAATAATAAAACTGTAAATGTATGTGGGTCAGGTATATATGTATACTATTGCAATTATTTGACAAAAATTTTCGAAGATAAACGGTAGTAAATATATATTATATAACATTAATAAATGCATTAAAATAAATATAAAGTTATATTCAATCGAGTAACTCTATTTCATTAATATGTATCTACATAAATATATATGTATAAATTTAAATATTAATAAATGTTTTTATTGTTATGAAAATGTAAATAGAAATGTGATAAAAATGTTACATGAATATCTATTTCCACACTAAAAATACATATATAAAAATTTCATTAAAATCAGAATAAAAATATTTATAAATATATAAACTTATATTTAGGTAGATACATCTCCATGGAATATATGTAACTTTTTTTATATAATATTATAACGAATACATATTCTCATTGTAATATATATTTCAGTATATATATATATTCGTATATTATATATTTTATAATATTAGTAATATATTAATATTAGAAAAATATATGTATATATATATATACATATGTATGTATATATATATATATATTATACGTATATTATATTATGTATTATCATATATAATATATATTACATTATTACATATATTACATATTGTATATATTATATATTATACTATATATTATATCGTATATTGTAAATAGTATATTATATATTATACTATATATTATATCGTATATTGTAAATAGTATATTATACATATTACATTGTTATATGACACGAGTTTTTCTATATATTAGATATTTATATATATATATATATATATACATATATTCATGCATATTACAGAATTATTAAAAATAAGAATAATAGAAATAATATTAATAATAAAACTAATAAAAATAATAAAAATAATAAAAATAATAATATTAATAATATTAATAATATTAATAATATTAATAATAAAAATAATATTATTGATAATAAAAATAATAATATTAATAATAAAAATAATAATATTAATAATAAAAATAATAATAAAAATAATAATAAAAATAATAATAAAAATAATAATAAAAATAATAATATTAATAATAATATCAGTAATGTAAATAAGAATATTAATAAGATATATATAGTAACTTTTAAACATATATACATGTAGTTTTACATAACAACTACATGTATATTATATATAAATTACATTCACATATGCACATATATTGTTCTTTATATACATATACATTTATAGGTATATAGTAATATATATACATAAAGATGTATTAATATAAGTATATCATATATATATATATATGACACGTATGTTGTTAATATTATTATATACATAATATACGAATATATATATAAATACATATACTAATATTATATTTTCACATGAATACACCGTGGAGGCAAGGATTCTAAATGTATAAATGTATGGATATTGTATTTAGTAATATGTAATCTACTAACTATTTCTACTAATTACTTCTTAATTGAGTTAAGTTTTATATAATCATTTCATTGCTAAGTTATTTATTTAAATTTAGATATTGTAGGAGGATTTGTTGTAACAGTAACTGCAGTTTGTTTGCCACCACTCAAAATAACAAATGGTGCTTTCGTTTCTTTTTGCTTTTGTTGTAACATTGTTAGTGTACCAAGCGGAGTGTCTGTAGAGCTCATTGTTTTCATTAACTAATTGTTTTCAGAAGAAAGAATAATATTTTTTAAAAATATATAATTAAGATAAAATATATTTTTAAGTTTAAAAACTTACGCCTTCTTGTTCCATTTTTTTCAATCTCTTTTCTATCTTATTTTTACCAGGACCTTTGCCATGGAACTTATGTGATAGATACCGGAAAGCTTCCTTTAAATTAAGAACGCGACCATTATCATCGATATACTCCAGTTTTACATTTGGTTTGAAATTATCTTTGTCTTTGAAATCCATAATAGGACCCGAGTGAAAACGATCTCGCCTACCATATTTATCATCCTCACTAAAAATATAAAATAATAAGAAAAAATCATTAAGTAATGCAAAAATTTAAATGAAGTTAAAAATTTTTAAAGCTTTTCAAAAATTTTAATAAATCTAAATCTGGTCTTTTAATTGTCAGGAAACGAGTTCAGTAGCTTCATTCGACTTTCGTTAAATAAACTGAAGACTGAAATCGAAAATCTTAAGTCTGGATATGTATTCTAAGCAAATAATTTTTTAAAATAATTAAATTAATGAAATGCTTAATTTACAAATAATTTATATTTACAAATAAGTATATTAGTAATCCTGCTTTTAAACTTACCCCATATTTTTGTCTTCGATTGAATAATTTTTCGCTTGTAAATGTGACATTTTAGAATTACTTGGACGATTGTGTTCTTCCTTTTCCAAATAACCCTTTGATAAAGCTAAACGTAAAGCATTTGCAACACCTGCACCTACGTCAGGTTCCTCATCTAAGATTTGTACTTCTTCAAGTTCTTCAATAACTTCATCAAATTCAACTGGCCGCATTGCATCCTCTGGATTAACAGAATTCCAAGTTCCATGAGTTAAACCTGTTTCTTTTGGATTATTGACAACTTTTTCGTCGATTGTGTCAATTATATCGAAATCCATCAATTCATTAGCATCAGTATCACGATTACCAGCCATACCGTATGTTGGTATATCACCCAGCGTACGACAAAATTCAGCCGTAGCATTTAACACAATATTACCGTCAGCAGTTTTTAAATTATTCGAACTGTCTTCTTCTTCTTCTTCTTCATCTGGCTCCGTTTTAATTTGAGTTTTAAGCTGCTCCAAATCGATTGATAATGGTTTTTTAATAATATTTTCGTTTTGTTTTAATTTACGTGCTTTATTTATAGCCCATTCTATATCATCTTTATCATCTTCCTCTAGTTTTACATTTATATCCTCTTTAGTGTCTAATTCCTCATCCGAATCATGTCTGCGTTTACGACTACCAAAATTTCGCTCCACAGGTTCCTCAGTTAATGGTAAAAGATCTTCCGCTTTTAATTTCTGTCGCAGTTTTTTAACTTTCTTTTTCGGCTTTTTGAATCTGTTGTACATAAATAAAATCGTTCAATTTTATCAAATAAAAATAATCCATAAAAATAAGAATAAGAAAATAAAATATGAATAAAGAAATAAAATACAAATAATAAAATAAAATAAAAATTATAACATACAAATAAATAATAAAATTTATAAAAAATAAATGTAACAAAAATTGGAAATTATAAAAAAATTAAAATATGAGTAAAACAAAAAGTAAATAAAAATAAAGAAAATATAATTAACAAAACAAATATATATAAAAAATTATATAATTAAAAAAAAATATAATTAAAAAAAATATATAATTAAAGAAAAAAATATAATCAACGAAAAATCAACAAGTCAACACAAAATATAATTAAAAAAAAATCAATTAAAAAAAAAATCAATTAAAAAAAAAATCAATTAAAAAAAAATCAATTAAAAAAAAAATTAATTTAAAAAAAAATCAATTAAAAAAAAAATCAAATTAAAAAAAAATCAATTAAAAATATATTATAATTAAAAAAATAATAAATTAAGAATAATGTAAAAAAATATATAATATATATAAAATATAATTAAATAAAAAAATAATTAAAAAAAATATATTTTAGAAAAATAAATATAATTTAAAAAAAAAAAATTTTAATTCAAAGAAATATAATTAAAAAAAATATAAATAAAAAAAAATTTTTTAAAAAAAAAGATTAAAAATATAAAATCAAACAAACTATATAATTTAAAAAAAAAAATTATTCATAAAAGAAGTCTTTAAACTATGATAAAAATAAAAATAAATAATTTATAACTATATGCTTACTTTGCAATTTCAATTTCAGAGAATGTATCTGATGCTAAAGTAATTCTAGTATCATCTAAAGTTTCCAAACGTTTTCCAGCTAACTTTGTTTTAATCTACAATAGATCATTTATTAATATAAATTTATTTGAATAACTTCATATTTATAAAAAAATAATTTATATATAATGGAGAAACTTACTTCCAATAATTTTCTACGATGCTCCTGCTCCTGTGCTAGATTTTCGCCGATAACAAAATTCTTTTTCTTTAATTTCTTACCATCTAAATCCTCATCATATTTTTCTAAGATATTACGTTCAATAGGATTACCGAATTGATCGTACTGTTCTTCATAGACATCATAGCCATAACTAAGCGGATGTAGTTTTTTATTATGCACATTTCTACGATAACGTTCATCATCAATCATATTAACATTAATCAAAGTGTCACCATCTTTCTCATTCAGAACATCATTATCCTTTAATGTCAATATAACAGTCTTCCCTTCGGAGAAATCATCCATATCATGATCCACCCGTAATCCTTTCAACTGTTTATCACCATAGGCTTTATTCATGGAGCGTTTCTTTTCGTCTTCAATTAAGTTGTCCACACCAAATGCAGCATCCATTTCCTCAAGCAATTTAGCCTTTATGGGAAGAAAATTTAAAACAAATTCAATACAAAATACAAATAAAATAAAAAATTAATTATAGATTTGCTATTTATTTATATTTTATTTAACAATTTTAATACAATTGTATTAAAGCATATAAAAGGTACGTGTCTTTCACTTCAAAGATGTAACTTTTCTGTTCTGAGTTGTACCACTTTCGTCTTTATGAAGAAAAAGATTCACACAATTCTTCTAAACTGGAGATCAATCACTTTGCGACTTCATTGAGGAATACAATCCGTATCTCTGGGAATTATATTAATATTTCTATTGATGAACATTCTGTTTTTAGTGCTTTCGCAAAGCTCTTTTGCTCCATATACCAAATTTGCAAGATCGTATTAACACGTCAAGTAGATTATTGTATAAAAGCTACTTGACGTATGTTCAAGCTACATACAGGATTGACGTATGTTCATACATAGACAAAAGGTCAGCATATGACCAACGCCGAAAGGCAACGACTCCCCCAATTAGGTAAAGATGTGTAAACCAATCTGACAATTAAATAAACTTGACTAAGTCCCTAATTTTTCAGGATGACAGATCAGTCAGGTCGGTAAGATAAGCGATCCAAAATATTTTAGATTTTACGAGTCAGTGCTAAATACGAGCACTAACACATGAAATGGAACACAGTTTTCTTCTCATCCTCAGAGCCAGTCTTATATCATATATAGATTTCGCTTTAGTTAAAGTAGCTATCTGGTACGGTTTTTGTCCAATAGTGAGAGGAAAAGTCGAATAATAAATACACTGTCTACGTTCCAGGCTACTTGCCCACTACAATGATTAAACGCTGCTTACCGCTCTCCACAAAAGAAAAAATGTCAAATAATAATATACGAAGTCTACGTCCCAGCACCACTCGTGAGTTGCAACTAAACAAACGATGCTCACCACTTCCAACAAGTACTCTTACTGCAGTTATGCATTTATTTGATAACATAATGTACCAAGAATTGTTTAGGTTTGTTTGCCTCTACCACAAAGTCAGGATTTTCACTTATAAAATGGGACTGAGGGATGGTTGGAATACATTAATTCATGTTGGGTTATGAAAAATGAATCTAATGTTAATGGTGTCCTATATAATCTTCCACTAACATTTTACAGATTGTAAAGTGTTAAACGTTTCAGAGTTATGTGAAGAGTAAAATTGTATAAAAATCAAATAGAATTTATAATTACCCGTTTATCGGCTTCTCTCCTTGAATCAACTACACGTTTATTGCGCTGTACCCATTTGGAAACATCATCCACTTCTTCATCCGACTCGCCAAGTGTTTTAATATGTGCCAAACGTTGTTCGATAAAACGTTTCTCTTTGCGTTCTTTTAATTTCTCACGTATTTTTTCAACTTGTGCCTTTTCGCTTAAATTAACAGCGGGTTTGTGTAAAAATTCACCCCATTCATCTATAAATGTGGACCCGTTCTCTTCCGCATAACTATTATTTTCATCATCAGCATGGCTTGTTGTTGTAGGTTTGGTTACTGTTGGAGTTATATCGAGCGGTTTTAAACCTAATTTTGCACGCAACTTATTAGTTTCCTCAATTGAAAGACAATCACCAGCACCATTTTCTGGTATGGGTGATTTTGAACGTGATCTTTCACGCACGCGTTCTCGTTCTCTATCGCGTTCACGTTCCCGTTCACGTTTTCGGTCATGGCCTCGTTCATTGTTATTGTCTTCTTCATTTAGACGTCCATTGTCATGATCTCTTTCACGTGCATAGCGATCGCGGTCAGTACGTTCTTTTTCGCGTTCCTTATCACGATCATAACGATCCCTGTTACGTTCACGTTCAATACGCTCCTTTCTTTCTCTTTCCCTTTCAAGAAACTCTCGCTCCAGTTCCTTATCACGTTTATTGCGCTCTATTTCTCGTTCACGCTCTTTTTCATACTGTATGCGCTCTTTTTCTTTTTGACGTTCATACTCACGTTCACGCTCGCGTTCTCGATCGCGTTCACGTTCACGTTCTCGCTCACGTTCCCGCTCCCGTTCACGTTCGCGTTCTTGCTTTCTTTCACGTATTCTTTCTATATCTTCAGCATTTTCGGCACGGTCACGTTGATAACGACGTTCGCGATTGTCAGATGACTTTGAGCTATTGTGTTCTAATTCTCTTTCTCCACTTTTGATTAGTTGTGAATCGACAGGTACTTCCACACAATCCGAACCTAAAATAAGAAAAAAGTTTTGTTAATATTGCTGTCTTCGTTATATTACATCTTTTAAACTTGTACACCAAAGTAACTTTTACTTAAGCAACTATATTTTCCATTTTATGGTCTTACAATTGTTTCATCATTAAGCAAATCTGTAAAAAATAGAAAAGAAAATACGCGATGATTTATCGAAAATTCTATTTTATCAGTACAGCTCTTGAGGAAGAAGATATATTGTTCATAATCATCATTATATTTATATGATTATATATTAACAAATTAAATCGCTTTTTATTTATTAGTTTTATCTGCTTCCTCAGTCTCAGCACTCATATTAACCCACTTATGACTGCTCTCGAGCTGCACACTTAGAAACTATTTGTGTTGAATATGAATGCACCCAATCAGTGTGAAAACCTTTTTAATGTGTACTTACTATCCGAGTCCGATTCCTGCACTGCAATAACTTCGGCGTAACGTTCGTCCTTACTAGGACTTCTGCGACGTTTATGATGCTTATGTTTATGTTCTTTATGTTTTTTGTGCTTGTGGTGTCTATGTCTGCTACTGCTGTCTTCCTCATCATCGTTGCATATATACTTGTGCTTCTTATCTTTTTTATGCTTTTTACCAGAAGAGGAACCCATTGAAATGTTTAATAAATCTATTGATATATAAACACTGATTAATATTCTATTTATGAGAAATTATGAAATTATCCACTATGTGGTACAAACAAACGTTGTCAGTAAGTGAAAACGATTATCGACTGCTGGGAAATGTCGACACAAAATATACGCGAATAATGGCCTTAAGTGTTGACAAATGTCAATATGAAGGGAAATTTATATATATGAAATAAGATTTTTATACTAAAGACAATAAATAAAGTCTTATGCAAATAATATATTACATAAAATTATTAAAAACTTGTAACTAATTATTAAATAAATTTGTGTAAGAAATAAAATTTATGTTAATAAAAATATTATAACAATCAAAACAATTGTATATATATAAAACAAACATAGTTTTCAACGAGATCACATGAATTTTTTTCCGAACTTTGGCAAGTGTTGGAAAACAAAAAACTATTTAAAAAGGTGGATTAATAATTTTGTACGATATAAAATATATATAATATATAATAATTAAATCTCATAGCTTAGAATATATATATAAAATAAATATAATAAATAATAATTAAATCTCATAGCTTAGAATATATATATTTAAAATAATATTAATAAAGTTTTTAAATAATGAGAAATTAAATAATAATTTTTTACTCCAGACATAATTTTCTAGATCAGTTAAAAATTTTTTATATCGTATTTAAAGCGTTTTAAAACTCAATAAAGGCATATTTATTATTTCATACAAAATCTGAGAAAATATTTTGTAATCTATTCACACACCACAAATGACTATAGTATTGATTATAATTATTAATTTCAACTTCATACAATAAGAAAGCCAAAATTAGGTATTAATTAATTTGTACATATATTATAAATCTATTAAGTATTGGTGCTGCTCGTATTCGGTTTTACGAAGTATCAGAAGAATGGAATAGTAAACGAAATCTCTGGAATTGAAAATTAAATCGAATTTTTTGTAAATCCTGAGTCTTTGAATATTCTGATTTACGGTTATTACACGCAGTGAAACTATTCGGAGACTTCGTAAAAGTTAAAGGAAGAGCGCAAACGAATATGCATCACACAAATAAACACAAACTTACAAACTTTTTTAGGGATAATATAATTTATTGTTGTTTGTACGATTTTATATATTTGGTAGTTTACACGGAAAATTTTATGTCCGAACAGTGCTTCATTTTATTTTATTTATTGCCTTTTAGTACATATTACTAAATAAAAAATTAACATTTTAAATAGTTTATATTAATATTTTTGATTTAAATTAACGAAATTATATTAAGGAAAATTTGAAATATACAAATTTTACAAAATAATACAAAATACGTATGTTAAAATTTGATTATATTAATATTTATACATGTTATTAGTAATGGAAATTTTATACAAGTTTCCATTTTTCGTATCTAAAAAAATTAAATCACAAATTAAAACCTTTAAAATTAGTTATGCTCGTTAATGCAAAATTATTTGACTGAAATGTTTTATTATGATGTATGACCTATGATGATCACGCAGGTAAGTTCAAATTTATTTTTTCATAATAAAATTTAGATTTATTTACTATTTATAGAATATTTTTAAATCCTTATTTCTAGGAAAATATCCTAATTTCTAAGAAAAAACATTAAGATATGTATAATAACATATCACTGCGAATAATGACCGCAAAATACGGAATTTCGAAGACTTGGAATTTACAAAAAATCCGGTTGTATTTTCAACTCCGGAGACTTCTTTGCAATCCGATTAATCGAATAACCAGAGAACCTCGGTTTTCAAAATAACCGAACAACATTATGTATTTAAATATTATTAAGTATTCTATTAATAAATCCAAAGATTTTAATAAATACTCACTGTTGTACTCAGCTGTTGTTTGTTTACATTTTACATATAAAAGATATGGCAAATATTCCAAATTTTGATCATTTTTCGCTTTAAGTGAGCTGATTTTTTGTTTATTAATTATCATAAAATCAGCTCATTTAATAAAAAAAATATCGAACGCAATCCTTAAAAATAAATTTCCCACAAAAGAAATTACCAAAATTTGAAATATGTGTTTTATATGTAAAATGTAAACAAACAACAGCTGAGCTGTAAGCAAAGGCAGGAAGTATCTTAAAAAATCATTGCTTTTATTAATTGAATCTGTAATTGATATATAAAATCTATACAAATTACTTAATATATCAATTATATTTTTAATTTTTTTATGTCATGTATTGTTAAATTTATAAATGTTCTATCAGCTGCATAAATTAGCTCATTACAATGTGAACGTTCACTCATGGATAAAAATTAGTAAGTACTTAAATGAGACAGTGTAAACATACTATAAGAATAATCATGAAAATTTTAAATGTTTTTTAAAATGCTTCATTTTAATAAGTTTTATATAATTTGCTATAAATAATAATTCCCACAAATTTTTTTTTATGTTAATATTAGTGAAAAATTCTTTTTTGTAAATATTTCTTTGTTTTATTACTTTAAGTATGAATATATTTCTTATGTATTTTAAGAAATTTAACTGAAACAGCAAATTTGAATAAAATAAACAAATAATTTATATTTTTTTCTTGATTTTTCTATTGATTGAGTTCTGAAAGTTAAAATGTAAGCAATTAAACTTTACTTAGACAATAATTGCTGGTTTCCGTAAGATTAATTAAAGTCTGAATATCTCCTGATAGCACGCTGTGAGTGTACTAAAAAAACGACATGGTTTAATATAAAAATTAATATTATCCTAATTATACAACGACATAAATCAAAATGTAAGTTCTTAATTTTTTTAAAAAAAAAAATTAACTGTAAACAGTATGACTAGAAATTTACCTTACATAAACGACCATATTAATTTTAATATTAATTTATTTACAACCTCAGAACATTATTTCAAATTTCACATACATATATTTAAATTATTCTCTGCAATATATTTTGGAGCTTTTCATATCTTCACTAATTTTCATATGAATGGAAGAACGTGAAATCCACGACACATACCATATTAATATTGTAACCCGACCTACAAATCTTGTTGAATCTCATTTCGGATTACAACAAGCGTAATGAATACAACAGGTTACTTTTATTCAAATAACTAAACTTCTTAATCATGCAATTCGAAATATGAATATCTGATAGTAAATCGTTAGTGAATAACAAACAATCTATGAAATAAATACAGTACTAATCCATCTTAAAATAAATTATGTATTTGTATGAATGTATATAGAATTTCATATTCGTCTTAAAGTTAGCAAAGCATTACATAAATTTAATGCTATATTTTTTAAAAATGCATTATTAATAATATTTATAAACATTTTGTATAAAATCAAACGTTTTAAAATTATATCACTAATATAACACATTAAGGAAATCAGCGCTGTGCCACCACTGTTTTACAAGTTTTCTAAACTAATGATCTTTCTAGAATATATCTCCTTCATTGCATTTAAACGCCTAATTTCATCTCGTAATTCAATGTATTCCAAATATGATAAATTTCCTTGGACGATCATGTCACATTTAATCTGCAGTACACGTGCTAATTCAGTTTGTTTACGATTAATGGAAGACACTTTGCTTATATCGTCAAATTGCTTTGGTGCATCGCTTTTATGTGATTTACTAGACTTCTTATGCGATTTACTTGTACTGCTTTCCTAATTGTTTGATGCAACAATAAAAACACGTTTAAAAAAATCTTGTTATATTCATTTTATAAAATACATAAACAAACCTTCGATTTGCCCATGCTTTGTTTACCACTTTTATGCCGAAATTCAATCCATCAGTTCTGACGTTTAATTTGTAATGCTGCCAATATTTATTGTATTAGTTATGCCAACTTTTATAAAAATTGACATTTCCTCTTCTCCTTTTCGCATCTCATTTTCAATGTATTGGCGCTGTCAAACTCGTATTTAAAAAAGTCTAGTAAATTTCTTGCGTTATGAACATTTGTTATATTTTATAAAACATAATTAAAGAATTTATAATGAACGTAAATGAGAGCAGTACGCTTGTTTTACATACTGAAAGTTTCAAAAAATTTGTTAGAGCAAAAGAGGAAGAACTTTTGCAGATACGTCGTTTGCGTCTAATAATTAACATATTGAGTTCCATAGACGTCAATGATATAAAAGTGGTCTTCTCAGCGAAAAGTGATGAACCGGCGAATAAATTGAATATTGCAAGAGCTTTTAAAATATTACCATTAATGGAGTTTTTACATTTACCTAATAGAGAAACCGCAACGATCTTAGGTGGTAAAGTTTGTTATTGTTTTAACTTAAATGTGTATTAATTGTACAATATTACTCTTTGCAGATTTGTCTGAACTAAACAATATCAACCTTTCCTATACAGAACGCAAAGTAATTCTCACACATTTTCCACAAGCTGCTACAAAATATATGCAGCCAATTCTAGAATTGGGCGCTGAAATACGTACAGATTTTCCAGAAATGTTTGAAAGAACCACATTGGAACCTGCAATTGAAACAACAATAGAAAATAGAAGTGCGCTTGTAAATTCAGCGAACAGCGAAGTATTAGTAACTAATTTCACTACTTTAGAGACTTCATTTTATTTATTAATGGAACTGATTTCCAAACGTACAGAGTTAATGAAAAGATTAGTTACGTTGCAGAACGAAAAGTGTGCTTATCTCAACAGTGTGGCGGCACTCAAAACTGGTCCATATTTTTGCAACGAAGTGGAATTGCTTCACGCTGAGGCACGCTACAATGAGCAAAAAACAAATTTCTTACGTTCCTTAATGGTACACGAATTTACAAAGTGCAGTGCGGATAGCATGGAGGCGATTAAGGAAATAGAAAAGTACACTAAAGAATCCGTAGCAAAAGTGAAAAACGAAGTAATCTAAAGGATACCAGTTTATGTAAAATTTATTATATTAGCAATTTTACTTTGAATAATTTTTTGTGTTACATTTACAGTTCAACTAATGAAAAAGACTAAATATTTCAATTGAAATTAAAAATTAAAAATACGTTTATAGAAAAGATATTTAAATGCATTTATAATTTATTTATAAAAATTTAACTAAAGATGACAACGGAAGAATTGAAACAATATCCGCTAACATTAACTATTGTATTCATTTATTATTATATTAATTTCATTTTAATATTGTATTAATATATTATATTTAGCTGTTGTATTAATTCATTATTATTATTATTAACTGTTGTGTTTATTATTTTTAATATTGTATTAATTTATTATTATGAGTATTGTATTAATATTATTATATACTGTATTAATTAGGTCTCAGTAGTTGTCAGGCCCATGTCCTACAACCAATTGTCTTTTCGCATGAACAAATTTCGATCATGACTTTTAACAAAAACTAAAAAGAACACTATAAACATTTCTATATTGGTTGAACCAACAATAACAGCATCGTATGGTTTTGATACCAGAAGCGGTTCAGTTTGCGTACCGAAACCACTAATTATTCCACAAGTTCAAGCACCACTATATACTATTTCAACATAAACTTAAAAGTCAGAAAGCCTCTATCAATGACGTCAACAACACCGAAACGGTATTATTTTAGTTTCAGAGGTGACTAAATCACTCGTCATACGCGACCTAATGTCATTCAACTACATAGTTCCATTATTTATTAATGTCTACCCTAACTGCACCTCTACTCACCATGACAATTTGTTCTTATGTCTTATTTCATCCTCTAATTTGAGCCCTATCGATCTTTGGCTCCGACCCGTTAAAGTTGTCAGGTTTCTCCATCTCAACCCAAACTAGTTTCAATTAAGACTCGCTCTTATATTACATCCCTTACACCAAACAATACTCCCTCTACGTTCATTTCACCCAATCCTAACCCATGTAGGGTGATTCCTTTCATGTTTCCTACGATATAGATCTCCAAGATCTGCGACAACAGCGGAGGCAGGCTAGCCATTCCATCTACAACAATAACATCATCGTTTTGTTTTAAACAGAAGTACTACATATGTTTTCATTATATTTTTATCATAAATTAAGTAGTTCCCCTTTCCAGTGTGTCTGTAGACATTTGTTTGATTTATTAGCCACTCCACATCGACAATGTAAAGTGGGTATGGAAAATATAGTTGATCGCTTGTGGACTCACGTATTAATTATTATCGTTGGCTAGATAGTTCAAGTCTTTTTAGGTGTGTAATATACCAACACTGGCTTTATATCACAATTTATATCTCAATTGTGGTTGTGCCAGTTTCAATACGTCTGATATTTTTAAAAGTTTCTTATTTTGGGTTAGAAAATAAAAATTTTAACGTTTAAGTCAGGATGTCTTAACTGGCCGTTGTAAATATTGGCACTTGAGTTCCTGGGAAGTCCTTGAGTGCTGGGAAGTAATTAAAGACATTTATATTCTATTGTTTTTGAAAAACGATCTGTGGTCCTTTATCTGTACTTTTTGTTTGCACTGTACTATCTGTTTTCTTTAGAGCCATATATGGATTCTTGAACATTAAATACTAAATACTATAATGCAAACGCAGCTCGCATCGCCGGTAATGTGACTACAACATATTTAAGTCCAAGCGGAACATATATTCAAAGTTTTACTTGATGTTATTGTTGTAGTCGATGTCGTTTGTAGTCGATGTCGGGTTTGGACAATAGCATTTGGTGAATGATGTTGACGAGCATAATTAAAACATACATACATATGTAGGCGGCTTAGCTTCTACAACCGTTGGTTGTGAGTCTGGCAGTTTTATTGGCTGGTTCGCGTCTTTTTTTTATTTCAATAAAAATCACGTAATAAATAAACAAGGAAATTTCATTTATCGGGAATGAATTAAGAGTTAAAAAAGAGTTAATGTGGTTGTTGTTATTATAATTTATTTAAAATTGGACGACTTTTAAATTTGGTTGATAGTCGCACGCAGACTCATACAGCAGATGGGATTCTTAGCATTGAATACTCTACAAATATAATATTTTGGGTTTAGCATTTGTTATATTAATATTACTTAAAATATGTTTAAATTTAAGACAATGTGTAAGGTCTTAATAACTTGGAAATGTTAGAAAGTTGAAATAAAAAAATGTTGAAGAAACGGGAAGATCTAAGAATTCAAGCAAGATACTTAATAATAACAAGTTGGAAGTAGAAAATCACGTATAAAAAATAGAAGCTATATATGTACATATGTTAGGATAATGCAATATGTGAACTTAAGCTATGAGGACAGCTCTAACCATACCGACTAACAGCGCCCGTTGGTGATATTCATAAACTAATCTAATAATTGATATAATAGGTCTGTTCCACGAGATACTCGTAGTAACTTATAGTAACACTGTGTATACACAACTGCGTTCCACCAGCAAATTTTTGAGTAAATGAGAACATCTGCGAGAGCGTAACATCTGTGTCGAAATTTGAAAATGCGCTATACAGATTTTACTCGTATATTTTCTTTCAAGTAAAATTTGTGTGATATGTGAATCAGCTGTTGTGGTTTGAATTTAAATTTTTGTATTGTTTATTTGCGCGGCACTGGTGTTCTCACCACACTTAACACAAAGCTGTTCTATGAAAATCTGTGTAAAGAGCGTAATTTGGCACTTTATTTGTGTTACGCTCTCAGTTTGTACTTTACTTGTGTTTTACTTGAGTTTTACTACGAGTAGTTCGTGGAACAGACCTGATATGATTTAATTTTTTGATCTCCTCACCTTACATTCTATTCAGACAATGCAATAAGTTTATAGTCATCATAATTAAATAAATTTACATATACAAAAATGCATTAAATTGTATATTCCGTAGATATCTCCATTGATGTTTTACAAATAAATATATAAAACTATATAATATACATATACCATACTTTGCCTAGCTTTTTAAAAACTGGAAAAATGTGTAGCAATAAGAAGCAACGAAAAATCTAAACAGTTAATTTATAATTAACTTATTTGCTTTAAGGTGGTCACATCCGTTATTTACTATTTGGTCATATGTTTTCATATTTACACTTTTGAGTGCAAATTAATTACAGTCAAATGGGTTATGTGTGTTACTTGTGTTAAAAATATCGAATTTTAATTATTTTCAAATGATTTCCGCCATTCTTATAATTTAAAAAATTTTCATTCTATTTTGAAAAAATCCCTTTCTTTGAAATATTCTTACATACATACATGTATACATACATATGTTGTCTTAACGGAATGTAAACAAAAGTGCGTTCAGTGACTTCCAAAAAAACAAATTTTGAAGTTTTGCTTCAAATTTAAGATGCCGCTTCGCGCCAGAAAATATATTTTAAGAAAGTTGTATTAACATTTTAAATAGAATTTTAAAGCGTTTTTTCAATTATCATACTTTCATATTTATATAATAATAATAAATTAAATTAGTTTATAAAAAATAAAAGGAAAAGTATAGAAATATCGGATTCTAAAACCAATCTGCAAGCGTTTGTAAGTACAGTTATTTTAAAATACACATATGTAATACATATAGATTGCTATTAATGTTAAATATTTAGTATTTAAACGTATATACTGCCGATAAAGTATACAAATTGAAAATTGTGGAAAAATTTGTCACAAAAAACTATTATTTTGCAAAACAATATTAATTATGGATGCACTCAAAAAAAAAGAACAAACACCTGACGAATTAGTGGACAAGGTGGCGCAAACATTAGCCGCAACTACATTTGAAAGTGACGATTCGGAAGGTGCAACCGCACGTATAAATACTTCGACTAAGACAACATCACAGAGCAAGACACCAAATGCATCCAAGACACCGATTAGACGTGGAAAAGGACGAAAAAAGCAT